TTGTTGCTTCTCGTTTTACTGTTCTCTAATTGATATAAAGTAAAAAGTGCTTCAGCCAATTACGTCATCATTGAGTCACCAAAATCAGGCAAGCCCTATTACTGTAGTGAAGGAGAACACAGGTAAGGGCAACCGAATTGTATTTAACGAAAATTACAGAGTTACTCAGTAAAATAGGAAAACCATATCGTAACCACCGTTAATTTGCAAATCTTCAATCAATCATCAATCCATTGTCTGACATTTCACTTACTCATGCTTTTCATACAAATTCCATTGTGTTCCCACTCTTCCTTTCTCTTGATCTTGCCCCATCTTCTGCTGCCAGACATTACGTTGACACTCACGTCATATACTACTTATAAGTAGCTCGCACCACACTACCACGTCAACATATCAGCTACTACAGTCGAATTCATATTATTAGAGATGTAGACTCGTGAAAAAAATGTAACTTATGACGAAGAACTCAATATTGATTTCAGATCAACGTTCAATAACATTTTCGTTAATTTACGAATTTTTAATGTATTTTGATAACGATTTGTGTTGAGTGACAGTTACTCGATCGAAATGTATTTCAGGAATACCAACCATCACATTGCCATTCATCGAATGTACTCTTTTCCAAACAAACTATAACCAATTAAAAACTAATATGTACAAGACAACTTGTCATCTATGTATGGCGTAATCTAAACACATCATTACTTCCACTTAAACTATGTGCTAATAATGTGTGTATTTCGATGATAGACTGAGAGCTTCACAATTGAATCTTCTAGTTAAGAGAACTACATGTCACCGTGATCATCCAAGTGAGCAGCACATCTTATTCACCAACTCCTTTCGATAACATTCTACACAAATTTGTTCGTGTATTTTATGTGGTAAAAATCAATCGCAGTGTATTATGCGTCGATTTAAACCGCGAAATATAAAATAAAATGAACCAGTGAATTGAAATATCTATGAGTCGATAACTAATAGTTTATTAACTTGACAACTTGTATTGTCTTTTTGAAATTCCCGACTATACTTATCTCTTCTGTATTGATAAAGAGGTTTGCGAAGGAATATGCATAGCTTTTAATCAATATCAATGAAATTTAAATAACTTAGTAGCGTATGAGTGTACTTACTTACTCACTTACTTACACCTGTTACCCCCAATGGAGCATAGGCCGCTCACCAGTTTTCTCCAACCAACTCTGTCCAGGGCTTCCCTTTACAATTCTGTCCAATGTTTGTTCATTCCTCTCATATCTTTCTCTATTTATCGGCGTAATGTGTCCATTGGCCTTCCTCTTTTCCTTTTGCCTTGAGGGTTCCATGTGAGGGCTTGTCTTGTGACGCAGTTGGATGCTTTTCGTAATGTGTGTCCTATCCACTTCCAACGCTTCTTCCTGATTTCCTCCTCCACTGAAATCTGGTTTGTTCTCTCCCACAGTTCCTTGTGTCTGATAGTGTTTAACCTACGAATCCGAAGTATTTTGCGTAGACAACTGTTAATAAACACTTGTTTTCTTGTGGCTGATGGCTTTGGTAGTTCTCCAAGTTTCCGCTCCATATAGTAGAACTGTCTTGACATTTGTATTGAAAATCCTGATTTTGGTTTTGTTTGAAAGTTGTTTGGAGTTCCAGATATTTTTCAACTGTAGAAATACAGCCCTTGCTTTGCCAATCCGTGCCCTCACATCTTAATCGGATCCACCTTTCTCGTCGATGATGCTGCCCAGATAGGTAAAGGTGTTAACGTCCTCCAAGGCATCTCCATCAAGAGTGATTTGGTTGGTGCATGTTGTGTTGCATCGGAGAATTTCGCTTTTACCTTTATGTATGATGAGACCTACTGCTGCAGAGGCTGCTGCTACACTGGTCGTCTTCTCTTGCATTTGTTGTTGCGTGTGCGATAGAAGAGCCAAGTCATCTGCGAAGTTCAGATCGTCCAGCTGTGTCCTAACTGTCCATTTGATACCGTGCTTCCCTCCAGATGTTGACGTCTTCGTAATCCAGTCGATGACCAGGAGAAAGAGAAAGGGTGAGAGTAAGCAACCTTGCCTGACACCGGTCTTCACCTCAAAAGAGTCTGTTAGATGTCCTCCGTGCACGATTTTGCAGTTGAATCCATCATAAGAATTCTGTATGATGTTAAATATTTTCTCAGGCACACCATGGTGTCAAAGAAGCCTCCACAGTGTTCTCCTATCCACGCTATCGAATGCTTTCTCGTAGTCGATGAAGTTGATGTAGAGTGGTGAGTTCCATTCAATTGATTGTTCTTCAATGATCCGTAATGTAACGATTTGGTCAGTACACGATCGATCCTTACGAAATCCAGTCTGTTGATCTCGAAGTTGGACGTCTACGAAGTCCTTCATTCTGTTTAACAATACTTTGTTGAAGACTTTGCCTGGTATTGAAAGAAGAGTGATGTCTCTGTAGTTCTCACACTTGTTGAGATCGCCTTTCTTTGGTATTTTGATCAGGTATCCTTCTTTCCAATCTGTTGGTACTTGTTCCTCATCCCAAATCTTCTTGAAGAGGATGTGAAATATTTTTGCAGTTGCTTCTACATCTGCATTCATTGCCTCTGCTGGATGGAATGTTGTCTGGTCCTGTTGATTTGCTACTCTTGATTTGTCTGATCTAGAGTGTACGCTGACCTAATAAATTTGATCATATGAAACAAATTGTATTGAGCATTGAATTTGTATATATCAAACTATGACTTCTATTGTCATACATCTTTGTTTTAGACTGATGAAAATATGCCTCAATCTAATAAACGCATGAAAACTGATCACATGATTAGTGATGGCTGCACTACAAATGATGCTAACGAAAACCCTTTACCATATTTAACTGAACCATGTCTACGTAGACTTCAATCGGGTAGTTATACTCTACTCTCAGATGTTGATATGTCTAATCAAGATTGGAGGCTGGAATGTTTATTACATATTCATGGGTATAATGTTCAAAGCAATGCAAGTGCTAAGAAAGTTAAACTTCATGGTAGGCGTTCTCAATCAACTAACAATCATTCATGTTATGGTCAGACTGTTTATGTTGCTGACGATGAAGAAGATGAAGTAAGTTGATTGAGTTATCATGTATATATAAATAAACTCTCGAATGAAATCCATCCATGCGGCTTATTGAAAATCAATAAGTTTATGTAGTGAAATATCAGTCACGTCTATGTGTCTGCAGACTTTACCATTCAATGGTGAAAATGTGAATCATTCAAGCAATAGACTATAATCTTGCATAAACGTCTTTATATAAAATAGATAGAATATGGTTAGCAGTGGAATCTAGGATTTTGGGACTCGTCAGTTGAATGTACCTCCTGTATTAGCTCAATTCAAATATAGTTCGTTTTCACTGAATGATATGGTTCAAAAACTGTTTACAATGGCGCAGATGCTGCATCCATGTTTTGTTTTTTTCTGAAATTCTAATCTTCTAAATTCCTTGTCACTTTTGTCTTTCTCTTTTTAAGTTTATTCCACTGGGTTTTACTTCTTGAATAATATCTTCTAATCCTAACCTCTCCGATTACTGCTAATATCTTTACTACCTCTACTAATGCTATGGGATTTCAACTGAAAATTGCGTCTCTGTGCTGATGTGGTATGGCAACCTGAACTGATGTACGTACGTACGAGGATTTACGTTGTAACTGAATGAGTTTTCACTATGATCAAATAAAGATCGATATATTGTGTACTGTTGACGGTTGCCTATTATATAGGCGCTAGCAATTGTTGGTACTAGTTGATTAGTGGAACTGAAGTAAATTTTGTGAAGCTCAGACATGTAACCCGAATAACTGAAAATCAGTTACTTTTTTTGAGTTTGCTAACGACAGGAGTGTAGGTGGCCTGTGTTAGTTCTAACAATGTCGATATTTTAGTTGATCCAACTTTCTGTTGAATGCGTCTACAAAAAGAGCTTTAATTCATGACTTCTTCCATTCACTGACGACGATTCGATGGAAAAGTTGATAGTCAACAGACAAGTAGTTTGTTCTCGGCTTGTGAATCTTTTTAGAGTATCGCCGTAAATTCTTTGTTTTGGAAAGCAAGAGAACATAAGGACATATCAAATGAGAATTTATCATTAAGTAATGTAAAGTCTGATTAATTCATCAACTCAGGTCCTTCTGTGGTTTTAAATTAGCCGGTCTTTCTTTATACGGAAGACTTGAGATTCCAAGAATCAGCCTAGACACAGTTCTTCAAACCTTTTCCAACAATGAGCTGTCTTTTTTAAGGCAAGCGCCGTCTGTTTGTGTGCTAATACTTCTACTACCTCTACTACTATGAGATTTGAAGTGACAATTGCGTCTCTGTGCCGACGTGGTATGGCAACCTGAACTGATGTACGTACGAAGTTCTACGTTGTAGCTGACTGAATGACTGCTTGTGTGCAATACTCAACTTTAGGATAAACGACTACTGTATACACACAATTAAAAATTCCGTAGCGTCTACATGGCTAAAGGCTCTACATTATTGACCATAAGGTTCGAAAACTTTTGACAGCTGTGTGTTCGGCAACATGTAATACTATTCATTGAGTATCTGAATAACAGGTAGATCGATGTTATCCACCCTGATGATCAATATGTATCATGATACACTTGGTAGTGTTTATCGGCAACTGCTACATTGTTATAATGCTGCTACGTACAGCTGTTCAGTCCTAGCGGTGTCCAATTCAAATATCCCAACACGACCCAAAATGCTATTTCCAAATCTCCTATATATCAGAACGCAACACCGTGGGATGGAGTTGTTTATTTCGTCGAGTACAGAAGAGAGAAGGTAGGCTGGAAGGAAACGGAATCGGAATCATGAAGTCTTACAGATAGTGCGTATTTATACATTTTGGGTCGAATAGAAAAGAGCATCAAAGTCTGTGACATTAACAGTTTAGGACGACGACCAATAGGAGAAAGAACATTTGAAATGACATTGACAGTCCGGATGACCAATCAGAGACAACATTGAAGTATTTGACTTTGACATAATTTTGACCAATAGAAATCGCCCAATAGGATTATACTTCCAAAAATAGTAGTACTCTTAGGATATTTGGTGAATATCCTAACACATATTCGTTTTATTATAGAACAAACAATAAGAGTAATCGATTCACTTAAAACCCATCAAATTTTTCAACACTTCACACATTTGTACTCAGTAATCATAAAAAATTTCTAAAAAAAATTTTGTTTTTGATTTTATTTCAGCTTCTCACTGTTACACCATTAAATAATGCATTAACTTTAGTCTACACTGGTCCTGGAACAACTAGTTTCTTGAAATATATTCCTTATCATTATAGTACAATCATTCAACAAAATGATTGTCCGACTTTGATTACTACCACTGATCATCATCATCAGTCATCAGAAAATGGTACAACTAATCTACAATTATTTGACTTATTTGTCAAATACTTTGATACAACACGATCAGATTCAGAAGATGTGAATAGTTTGCTAAACGATACTACTACTAATAATAATAGTAGTGTCAGTAGTTTGACTGACGAAGAACAAGAAGAAGAAGAAGAAGTAGAAGAGGGGGAAGAGGAAGAATCCATTCAATCAGTCCCTGAAGATGATGACAATGATTCACGGACTGATGAAGATAAACTAGAAGAGGAGGAGAAGGAAGTGATACAATAAACAAGTGACATTTGTTTGTGTATATTGGTAATTATGATCTTGTTTGTATATCGATTGAATTTTGATAGTTAACAATCTTTTTTTTTAGAGTAAATGTTAGTGTTTGTGATGATTTTGTTAGGCGTTACAATAATAACTATAATGCAAGAAGCATGTTTGGGGGGAATGCGATCCTCTTCCTCTCTTCAGGATTGGTTTGTGTGAGTGAAGTTGTTGAGCGTGTTGACCGCTTTGCTTATCTTGGGGAGTCTCAGTGCTGATGTCTGACAAAATATCAGAGCGGATACAAATCGACTGGATTTTGCTAACTTGCGTCACTAATGGTATAGGCGAGAAATGCGTAACTTAAAAACACGTTTACTGTATCGGTTGGATCAAGATCCTAAACTCACTTTTAGCGACATGGCCAACGAATACCAACAGCCCATTAATCTACAACGAGACACGACTATGGTTCAGAGTGGTGGCTATAGTCGATCTGAAGTGCGTATGTTAGAGCAACACCTAACCAGAACAAATGTGTACCTGCTACACCCAGTCCATCTCACTCCAGCTCAGTCCGAAACACGAAGACGAATCCCCCCGCTTCTTGCTAGCACTGTAGTGCATTGCACTATTTACGAAACTGCCCATTTAGGCAACATCGATGCAGGGAGTGTAAGGTCGTGGATCATAAAAATGGGTTTTGTCTTAAGAGGAAACCAAACCGATCCAGAAGTACCAAAAATACTTTTCCTAGATCCGGTACCAATTCGTTGAGCCTAATATCATCTTATCAAAGCTCATTCCCAAGTGAGACGAAATTCATAAGCAGGGCCTGGGACAACGGATTAGAATAGCCTATCGTGTCACTGTTGCTGATCTTCGTTCCATTTACCGAGTAACGTGAACTCGTAATAGCATTCAAGCATATCACAACCAAAGAACGAGTCTACTACGCAGCAGTTCGCCCCGTCCTATATGGCTATAAGGAGTAGAGGATATTCGTAGGTTGCTGGTTTTCGATAATAAGTGTCTCCGAAGCATTGCTCGTATATCTTGAGACAATCGAGTAGGCGATGCTGTCGTTAGGAAACGAGTACTAGGTACGGATAGCGAATCAATAAATGAACTATTGAAACTTCATCATTTGAGGTGGATGGGACATGTCTTACGTATTTCCAACCACCAACTGCCTTGACGAGCGATGTTTTGTGGTGTAGGAGTTGGTTGGAAGAAAGGAGCATGGTACAAATTTTCGAAGTCATTGACAAAGAGAGTGAGTCATGTTGGTAGATGTAGACTACCTGGTTGGGGTCCGCGAGACGATAGTAACCGATGGTTAGAGAGACTGTGAACGACATGGCTTAAAATCGTTTGCAATGGCGCAGGTGCATGCACTCGTTGTGTTCTCCGAAATTCTAATCTTCTGAATTCCTCATCTCTTTCTTTCTCTTCAAAGAAATCTCGACTAATTTTCTCGAAGCTTAATCTTCTCCATTACCGCTAATACTTCTACTACCTTCTACCACTATGGGATTTGAAGTGACAATTGCGTCTCTGTACCAATGTGTTATGGCAACCTGAACTGATGTACTTACGTACGAAGTTCTATGTTATAACTGACTGACTAACCGTGCATGAATCAACTCAAGTTCAAAAACTTGAAGCATTTCAACTGTAGTAGCGAATTGATTTATTCATTCTTAAATCAAATCAGTCGTCTAATCTGAGACCCAGCATTGATTGACATTAATCGAGTTGTGTTATCGAATGTAAAGAACCCATGAACATGCATGCACACACACATACACAAACCATTGATAATCAAACAATAATAATCATAATAATAACAATAGACATTTGACAAATTCACAAAAAAAATTTATTTTAAAATGAAATCACAGCAATGCTGGTTGTTGTTGTTAATGTCAAATACGATTCAAAGTAGAAATAGCAATTGAACACAAAGTATTCATTCCATAAAAGTAAAAAGAAAACATTTGAGAATAACATTTTGTTGTTTGAAATAATAATAAATAAACAAACAAACAAACATACATGCAAAAAACAACAACACGCACACGAAAAAAAAATTAACATATTTTCAAAAAGAGCGCATTTTCTTCGGTGTTTAATAAAATATATTGAAACATTGAATAACTACCACATAATAAAAGAATCACTAATAACAACAACAACAACTAGATTGAATAAAAGTTAACATGTGAAAATTAATTTTTTTTTAAGTCAAGGCAGGTACAAAAAGAAAAGTAATTCAAATAATATATTTAGAAAAGTAAAGAAAGACCAATTGTAACACAATGTTGAAAACATTGATTGAACCAAGCATAAAATACAAATAGATAGATAGATTAGATAGGATATATGAAAGTAACATTGAAGTGTTGAAATGTTTACACAATCGAAATTGACATGAGACCCAGAGTGATCAAATTGTTTACTTGGATGTCCAAACACACACAGGTAAGCGATGCTCATCACAAGATATTATTGCTGTTAGTTTTTGATGATTGATGATTCTTTGAATATAATTATACTTTTATTCAACTGTCACAGATTTTGCTAAATTTCGAGGGCAATCCACCTAAAGATATTTATTATTTGCAGCAAAACAATAAAGACATTTTTTTATGAATTATAATTAAAAAAATCTTGAAGAAAAAAAAACACTAAATATTCACCATTGTGAATTGTACAAAAAAAAATTCGGGGAACCATGTCAATTCACTTGTCAAATGTATCAGTTCGAAAGAAAAATTACACCGACACAATAAACTGGTCAGTCAGATGCAACGTAGAACTTCGTACGAAAGTACATCAGTTCATGTTGCCATACCACATCAGCACAGAGATATAATTGTCAATTCAAATCCAATAGAGTAGTAGAGGTAGTAAAGGTATTAGGAGTAATCGGAGAGGTTAGGATTAGAAGATATTATTCAAGAAGTATGATTCAATGAGATGAGTTTAGAAAGTCAAAAGTAGGGGGGTTGAAGAACCAAGAAAATTAGGATTTGAGAGAACACAAAGAATAAATGCACCGGCGCCACTGCAAACGGTTTTGAGCCATGTCATTCAAGGTCTCTAACCATCGATTATTATCATCTCGCCGACCCCAACCAGGTAGTCGACAATTACCAACATGGCTAAGTCCACTCGTCAATGACTTCATGGATTTCTGCCATGTTTTGGTTTGGCCGCCCCTAACTTTCTTCCAACTTACTCCTACACCACAAAATATAGCTAGTCGAGGCAGTCGGTGGTTAGGCATACGCAACACATGTCCCAACCACCTCAACTGATGAAGTTTCACCACTTCATCGATTGAACTGCCATTCTAACCTAGCACGTGTTTCCTAATAACAGCATCGCTTACTCGGTTGTCCCAGGATAGGCGAGCAATGCTTCGAAGACATCAATGATCGAAAACCAGTAACCTACGAATATATTCAATAAACTGGTCCTTATGCAAGTTGTCAACTCTGTCTGGAGCAATGTTTTGGGGGTTATTGCCGGTCAAAAACCAGGATAAAGGAGAAAAGTCGGGCATGGAATTATTAACCACTCCATTTTGGAGAAAAATAACTCGTTGAAAAAGACACTAACCAAGAAAGTGATATGCTTGAATGCTATTACGAGTTCGCCTTACTCGGTAAATGGAACGAAGATCAATGATGCAATGACACGATAGGCTATTCTAAACCAATCGTTGCATCCTGATAAGATGTAGATAAAATGTATTCCACAGGCAACCAGAATGTATGACGTCCACAAGCGCACAACTCAAGCTTATTTATACAATGATAGCAACGCCCTTGGGAGAGCGACAAAATAGCGTACTAAAATAATCCATCAACCAGTGATAACAGTCAAGGATTCTCCGAGTGGCGAATGTAAGCTGAAGGTCAACTAAGCGTCTCTGGCGCAATTACATAAGTATTCAAAACTTCAGAAATAAATTATAGAGTTATGACCTTTTCCAAGTGAGTTCTTGGGATCTAACGTCCCCAACAGAAAAATAATTTAAGCCATTTAAACAGCAATCGAACGGAACTAGAAAGAAAGGACCAGGACAGGGTAGGTTTGAGAATGCTCAAGGGCGGTCTATGCTCTTTGGGGGTTATAGGAGTAAGTCGATGATACAGATAAACACCAAAGAGCAATATCTGAGAGGGAGAGAGAGAATCATCAGAACAAATTTTTTTTTAAAAAAAAAGGAATAATGCTATATCGAAGTAATCAAAGAACTATACAACATTTGTATCTCAACAACATAAGTGATTTTCAAGCGTACATCATGAGTTTCAGAACAAGTAAGTTTAGTTGCAGTTCTTAAGATTTTGACCATGATGCGTGCTATTTCCTGCCAATTACTCAAATCAAAAGTTAAACAATTAACACTGTTGGATGCCGACTCAGTGCTGGTCTACAGGTTAAGAGTGCGTACGAGACCGAAGATCCCAGGTTCCATTCCCGCCAGAAGCGGCGTGGATAGATAGGAACTGCGTACGAGTTCCATAGTAGTATGAAATGGCCGTCCAGTGCTTCCAGATTTCTTATGGTGTTCTAACAATGACCGATTCATGATTTCAATGAAACTCAACTATTTTCACAACTCTATCATGAAAAAAAAGTCAATAACTCTGATAAAATCGTACACCAGTTCATTAGCATGAAAATGTACATTTTAACGTAGTAAATGACAATTCCATTGAGACAAACATTTACACGAAAAAATATGTAGCAGAAGATGGAGTTGTTGAAATTCGCATCAATACCGAATACATGAATAAAGGAAGCCCCAAATTCAAATTACGGTGTTTATTATATGAATTTCTACAGCTGAAAAATATCTGGAACTCCAAACAACTTTCAACTAAAATCAGGATTTTCAATACAAATGTCAAGACAGTTCTACTGTATGGAGCGGAGACTTGGAGAACTGCGAAAGCTATCATTCGGGAGAGACAAGTGTTCATTAACAGTTGTCTACATAAAACATTTTGGATCCGTTGGCCAGACACCATCAGCAACAACCTACTTTAGAAGAGAACAAACCAGATCCCAGTGAAGGAGGAAATGAGGAAGAAGCGGTGGAAGTGGATAGAACAAACATTGGGAAAATCACCCAACTACGTCACAAGACAAGCCCTCACATAGAATCCTCAAGGACAAAAGGAAAAGAGGAAGGCCAAAGAATACATTACGCCGAGAAATAGAGAAAAATATAAGAAGAATGAACAAACATTGGACAGAACTGGAGAGGGAAGCCCACGACAGAGTTGGTTGGAGAAAACTGATGGGCAGCTTATGCTCCATTGGGGGTAGGTAACAGGCGTAAGTAAGTAAGTAAATTATATGCATCATTGTGTAAAAAACTTACATCTAATCCACGTTGTACTGCTATATGAAATGAAATCAATTGTAATGGAATAACTGCTAGTACACTTTGTAAACAATCCACTGTTTCCGGTATTTGAATGGAATACGATGCATCTGCCATCACTTGTAAATCACCTTCACTGCAAATTACAATTGGATGTCCCTTAGGGGGAAGAAAGAGAGAGAAAAAATGTTACAATCTAGTTTAGAAGTTACATATTTACTGTTTAGGGTTCGAAGATATTATTTAAGAAGAATTTAAGAATTCAGAAGATTAGGATTTGAGAGAACACAAAGAATAAATGCACCGGCGCCATTGCGAACGATTTTTAGCCATGTCATTCAGAGTCTCTAACCATCGATTATTATCATGTCGCCGACGCCAACAATGTAGTCTACATCCACCAACATGACTAAGTCAAGCCGTCAGTGACTTCATGGATTTCTGCCATGTTTTGGTTTGGCCGCCCCAGCTTTCGTCCAGCCTAATCCTACACCGTAAAACATAGCTCGACGAGGCAGTTCGGCATACGAAACATATCTCAACCACCTCAATTGATGAAGATTCACTACTTTATCAGTTGATTTGCTATCCTTACCCAGTACCCTTTTCCTAACATTAACTTTGCTCATTCGGTGGTCCAGGATATACGAGCAATGCTTCAAAGACATCTATAATCGAAAACAAGCGACCTACGAATATCTTCTACTCTGACTGGTCATGTTTCGCATCCATATAGTACAATGGGGCAAACTTTTACGCAGTACACTCGTCCTTTAGTCAGCAAACGGATAGCTCGCCTACGCCATAAGTGACTCAGGTTAGCGAAAGCCAATCGAGCCTTCTGTATCCATGCTGAGATTTCGTCATTCATCAGACTATCAGCATTGATGAGACTCCCTAATTCTGATTCTGAAAACAAAGTTTGAAATCTGCTAAGAAAAATATTTACATTACATAATTGTAACAGATTATAACCTTTGCATTCATTCCTGTGTAAACTTATTAAATCACTTAACAGTTGACTTAAATCATACAAACACACATCTAAACCTAACAACTTCACATATTAAAGTTATGCTTTTTTGAAATGAAAACTAGATAGTTTAGTTGAGACGTGTAAGTGTGTGTGTGTGTGTATCGGCATGATTTTTTCAATGAACATTTTAAATTATTTTTAATTAAAGTAGAGAGTATACACGTTACATGAAACTATAAAGTGAACTGATCTCGTTAATCTATTTAAATACTTAAATATTATTCTTCCGTACAAAAGGGGCACCTAGATGTTTATAGACAGACAGATACAACGCACAGAACTTCGTACGTGTAAGTACATCAGTTCAGGTTGTCATGCCCCATCTGCACAGAGACGCAACTGTCAGTTCAAATCCAAGAGTGATAGCGATAGTAGAAGTATTAGCAGTGTAATGGAGAAGATTAGGGAGCGAAGATACGATATGATTCGAGAAGCATAATTCAGTGAGATAAATTTAGAAGGAGAAAGGTAGAGATTATGAGGAATGCATAAACTCAGAATTTCATAGAACACAAAGAGTGGATGCACCTAAGCCAGTGCAAACGATTTTGGGTCATCTCATTCAGGGTCTATAAGCATCGAGTACTATCATCATTACTATAAACCAGGTAGTCGACACCTACCAGGATGAGTCAGTCCACTTGTCAGTGACTTCATGGGTTTCCGCTATGTTCTAGTTTGGGCACCATCGTTCAACCTACTCCTACACCGCAAAACATAGCTCGTCGCGGCAGTCAGTGGTTGGGCATTCGTAACACATGTCCCGATCACCTCAACTGATGAAGTTTCACTACTTCATCTATTGATTGGCCGTCCGTACCTAGAACTCGTTTCCTAACGACAGCATTGCTTATACCTTCCTTTCATCCAAAAGTCTAGTGTACAAGATAAACAGTGAACCAATGGAAAGGAGATTCATTCCCCATTGGCATGGTCGTCGGACACCAACAACAAGTTCAGACGCCTTTTGGTTCCATCAAGATCCTGGAGTCTATGTTCACCAATGGTTCGGATTCAGGATTTCCAAATTCTTCTAGGTTGATCCTCCATACCCACCAACCCGATTTAAGCCTCGGTCAGGCGCTCACTTTCCATCCTTTCAATTTCACAAATAACACTACTGACACAAGAAGCTAGTGAGTAGGACAGACAGCCATATGAGAGTATTTCGACAGGGAGAAAACGACAGACAGAGCAGACTCTTCCCACACTCAGCTGAACCGTGGCATTCAGGGAATAGTGAAAAATAATTGAATTATATCCATGTTAATCATGAATAACGAAAAAAAATCGAACGTTGATCATAATATTCATAATAATAATGACTGGAATTTTTTTAAATGTACTTCCTTCACTTCAAAACAATCAATATACATAATAAATTCAATAGACAAAATATTCAAAAAAGTTTGTTTGAATGAGCGGCAAAAAAAATGATTTGAATATATGAAATTATTTTTTTTTTAAAAATAATAGTAATTTAAACAAATACCCGATATTATTTGTGAATTACCTTTCGCGCCCGGATTTCTGACAATGCATTCATTGTTTTCTACAACAAGAGGAGCAATACACACACACAAACAGAACCGACGTGAATAATGAATACGCATTAAAATAACAAAGAAAATGTAACAATCGATCAATAAATTGTGGTTTACAATAAAAATAAGTAAAAATACACGTTTCCAATGGCAACGTATGCATACAGGCGAAGGATACTACTACCACTATTACTACTAGTACAACCGATTACTACCCCCTCTAACTCAGATCTTATATGGTTGGGGAAAAAAATGCAAATTACGTTATTGCAATAAAAAAGGGAACATGTTCCAACATGAGATAAACCTTATTAAATGTGTTTGAGCTGTTTGTTTGCATCAAGCTGGGCTGCATCGCTTACGGTCCCTATGCTATACGATCGATATATCATGAGCTATGTTGCTCTATATATAGAGCTCAAGGTGTCCTATGAGACCAGAGGTTCGCTATGATGAGCAGTGTATATGGTTTGGCATGCTTTTGGGCACGTTTTGCTAATAGTTGTTCATATACAAATTTGGTTAGCAGGATGACCTATATTTCATTGATACTGATGATGGTGGTTGTCTTGTAACATCCCCGAGGGTTATTTATTTATTGTCATCGGAACGCTGTAATGGTTATCACTGTTGCTAAGAGTAATAATAATAATAATGAGTTTGTGCTAGTCATGTAAACGAAATGAGTCAAATTAGCCTGTTCATGCTGTAACTGTATGGTTGCAACACGGGATTCAGGCGAACTGTTCAACATTGAAATGTTAACACCTGAACAGTGTCTGACTCTCACGAAAACCAATGTGAAACCGACCTTTGCCACCTGAGGTTAAATTTATAATACAACTGTATTAACAGACAAAGTAGTCAACACTTTGTACAGATCACTGATTGCATTGTACAGTATACAATATTTAATTGACCAACTATAACTCAGATTATGAGAACAGGAGATTTAGTCCATCGGTATAAAAATCGATTGAAAGACTGGACCACATTCGAATATGTCCGTTGTTTGTGTAGAAGAAAAATACTATGAACTAAGTAAAATGTCCGTAATCTCGGGCTTCCTAGAAAATTTTACAGTAAATGTGCTAAAGGTCAACCATTTATCTTTGCTGTTTTGACCGATTACCGATTAAAGCTGGATATAACCTTATCCTCATCTGAATTTTCAGTAGACATTTTACCAGGAGGCTCACTTATTGACTTAGAATATGCCGATAACATTGTCCTACTTGGTGAAGATGCTGACAAAGTGCAGAGTCTTCTGACTACCCTAAGCAACAATGCAAGCATGTTCGAGATGCGGTTTTCCCACTCCAAATGCATAATGTTGCTTCAACATTGGGTTTCATGGGCACCTGAACTAGTGATAGGGAGTGAAGTAGTCGAACGTGTAGACCGCTTCACTTATCTTGGGAGTCTCATCAGTGCCGATGGCCTGGTGACTGACGAAATCTCAGCTCGGATACAGAAGGCTCGATTGGCTTTTGCCAACCTTCGTCACTTATGGCGTAGGCGTGATATCGGTTCTCTAATCAAAGGACGAGTGTACTGTGCAGCAGTTTGCTCCGTCTTAATTTATGGCTGTGAAACATGACCAGTGAGAGTAGAAGATATTCGTAGGTTACTGGTTTTCGATCATAGGAGTCTTCGAAGCATTGCTCGTATATCCTAGGACACCCGAGTGAGCAACGCTGTTATTAGGAATCGAGTGCTAGGTAAGAATGGCAGGTCAATAGACGCAGTAGTGACACTTCATCAGTTGAGGTGGTTGGGCCGTGTGCTACGTATGCCTAACCACCGACTGCCTCGACGAGCTATGTTTTGTAGTGTAGGAATAGGTTGGAAGAAAGTTAGGGGCGGCCAAACCAAAACATGGCACAAATCTATGAAGTCATTGACGAGTGGACTGATCCATGTCGGTAATTTTCGACTACCTGGTTGGGGTCCACGAGATGATAATAATCGATGGTTAGATACCTTGAATGACATGGCTCAAAATCGTTCGCAATGGCGCCGGTGCATTTATTCTTTGTGTTCTCTCAAATCCTAATCTTCTGGATTCTTCAACACCTCTAGTTTTGACTTTCTAAACTTTTCCCACTGAATCATACTTCTTGAATAATATCTTCTAATCCTAACCTCTCCGATTACTTCTAATACCTTTACTACCTCTTCTACTATTGGATTTGAATTGACAATTGTATCTCTGTGTGCTGATGTGGTATGGCAACATGAACTGATGTACTTACGTAGGAAGTTCTACGTTGCATCTGACTGACTGACTGACTGAGAAAAGAAACCTTGAATTTGACACTTACCACTGATTACTACTGCTAGTACTACTACTGCTACTACTTAGCCAATTCGATTTTTCACTAAAAAATATAAACTTGATGAAACTGTGAAGTGAGATTTCTAGCACACACACAAACATCAACAAATAAATAATGAGTTCACATTGTTGCATAGAAATTTTATTTTTCAATATATGATTAGTATAGGTCAGTTAAATTATTTTAACACGTAACAAATCTATTCAATTTGGTATGAACGGATTTAAACTTTAATTCATAATGAAAAATGCCGTTTTAAATAAAGAGTTAACATTATCAATCAGTCAGTCAGTGAGCTATAACCTAGAACTTCGTACGTATGTAGGTACATCAGTTCAAGCTGTTCTACCATGTTACCCCACACAGAGATCGGATTGTCAAATTCAAATCCCCGTAATAGTAGAGTTAGTAAAAGTATTATTAGCAGTAATCAGAAAGATTAGGATTCGACAAGTATATCTCAATGAAATAAACTTCAGAAGAGAAATGGAAAGGTTATGAGGAAATTCAGGAGATTAGAATTTGAAAGAAGACAATGAATGCATGTCAATGACTTCATGGAGTTGTGCCATATTTCGGCTTGAGCGCCGCCAGCCTTCTTCTAACCTACATCTGCCTATATCACAAAACATTGCTTGTCCAGGCAGTCGTGCTGGTCGGGGCACATATGTAAGTAACATCATCAAATATAAATCAATACAATACATAATATAACTAATTAATTAATTAATTAATTTACTTTAAATAAACGATCTCGTGTAATAATCATAATTATTGTACTTTCATGATCAATCATTGCTAATGGACCATGTTTCAATTCACCAGACATAATACCTTCTGCATGCATATAAGTTAATTCTTTCAATTTCTATAAATATTTAACAACAACAATAAAAATAATAACAAAAACTGTATATCAGTAGTATAAAGTGATATGATTGAATGCTATTACGAGTTCACCGACCGGAGCTGCTAACTTTACATGGTGCTTGTCGGGCTTGCCTATCATGTCATGACCCAACCGAGCTATATTGGCTGGAATATATGTTCCTGAAGGTTCTACCATGCCAGGCTTTTAAAAAGAACGCAGCTAATACTCAAAAATCCTTTCATAAAAAGGCCGTGCGTGAATGGCCTCAAGCAGTTGTCCCTTGGGCTCTGCGGTCATGCTCTCAGGTCTCTAAGACCAACACTAATCTATCTTCCTTTTCAGGTCCCTCAAGAAACACTCTTACACGGAGTGGGCAGCCGGGAAGTGACAACCACCCTCATACCTGTGACAGAACCCGAGACCACATCGGCCATAATCAAATCCTTCCAGCACCCCCTAACATCTCTCTTATCTCCACGACTAACTCTACTCACATTCCTTTATCACACTGCATAGCTAATGCAAACGATGCAAGTTAGTCGGTAAACGAAAGCGAAGACAAACGATTCAGTGACACGATAGGCTACTCTAATCCGAGCGTCTCAAGGACCCACTAAATAGAGGAAGAAGTCTTGACAAGACGTAGAAAGTGTATTCTACAAGCACTCAGAAAATATCAGGTCCTCAAGCACACAAGTCAAGTTCATCTATACATGATAGAACCATCCTTGGGAGAGCCATAGAAATAGCGTACTAAAATGATACTACATCAACCAATAACAGTCAAGGATTTTCCGAGTGGGAAATGTAAGCTCAAGGTCAACTGATCAGCGCATGTGCGGAATCATAAAATCCAAAATTAGAACCTTTATCAAGTGAGTTCTGGGGATCTAACGTCCGCAACATAAAGGTTGTGAAAAATTATTGAATCGCATTGAACTCTCATCAATTGATCAATGTTACACTGTGATTCGAAACTAGGTAAAAACTGGATGACGGTTTCTTTTGACAGTATGGGGGGGACTAAGCATCAATAGTGAGCAATAAGATTGAAGGAAACACTAAGGACTGATAGATATTTGCTTGTTCTTGCATATTGATTAACTTATTATAATGTGAATAAAATTTAGGACACCATTTAACGCTATTAAAACGATTTTTTGAGTTTACTGATTAGTTTTTTGCCTATATAGTATTATGGAGATCATTGTTTCTACACAGTGAAATCATAAATCGATCATTGTTAGACAACCACCATTAGAAACCCGGAAGCATTCGAAAACAGCAGTTTCGTCCTAGTATGGGACTACTCATCAGTGGCAGTGTGCACACACAATCCTAGCTTGCAGGAATCGAACAAAGGACCGTCGGCCTCGCACACGAACGCCTAACCTCTGGACCATTGAGCTGGCATCCAACTGTGTGAATATCTAACTCCGATCAATCTAAGGATTTTTTTTCCGCAACCTCTTCGGTTTTTACTGCCTCAAACTCGACAGGGTTAAACTCTCCACTGGTTACGTCTTTTCACTAGAACCCAAAGAAACTTTTTCACGAAGCTAGTCACTAGTGAGCACATATTTTTATGGAAATATATGATATAACTGTTCGAATATTCACCAAATATCCTACGAAAAATCATTTTGTAAGTGTAAATCCTATTGGTCATTATTATTGTCGTCGTAGCCATCACTGTCACGTACTTCAATGTTGTTTCTAATTGATCGTCCTGACTGTCAATGTCACTTCAAATGTTTTTTCCTATTGGTCGCCTTAACTGTCAATGTCACAGACTTCGATGCTGTTTCCTATTCGACCAAAATGTTCTCCTTCACTAAACTACGACCAGGATCCCTAGTCCGGGATCCCGATTATCTCCTGGACTCGGACCTTGTATTTTCTGGATGTTTGTAGAATACACGTTCTACTTCATATCAAGTCCACTTCTTCTTTCACTCAATGGGGGGGGTTTGGGATACATTCAGATTAGAGTAGCATGTCGTGTCGCCGGATCCTCGTTCTCATTTTCCAACTAAAGTAAACTCAGAACAACACATATAAGCGAACAATATTGTTTTCGATTAGATCGTCATCAGGCTGCTTTACTCTAATATACATGAATATTTATATGAAAATGTTAACATTTTCATATAAATATTCATGTATATTAGAGTAAAGCAGCCTGATGACGATCTAATCGAAAACAATATTGTTCGCTTATATGTGTTGTTCTAATTTTCACAATGGGAATCTTTAAAATTCTTAAAGTAAACTCGTCGTAATAATAGCATTCAAGCATAATCAAATGGACATGTTTACATGCATTCAATAACAGTAAAAAACAATGCACAAAATATGAAAACTAATGGAGAAACGTTTTCTATCTATCTATCTATCCTACTGTTTGTTACTGAACAATCGATCGATCGATCGATTGATTGACCGATCAATCAATCAACCAATCAGCGCTGCTGTTGTTGTTGTCGTTACAATGAACTGAACTGAACTCAAAACAAAAAAATAAAACAAACCAAACCAAAGATCACACACAACATGTGTCATCATCACATCAATTGATTGAATAGAAGATAAGCGAAGATTCTGTTTGTTTTTCTTCATAATTATGATCTCATTTGCATGAAATTAATTAATTAATTAATAATTCAATTATAGTTTAATGATCTTGTACAGTTAGTTTGTTTGTATTAAGGAAGTGAGAGCAATTTTTAACATGCATCTTCTATCCATCATATAACAAAATGCGCAAATGAGTAAATTTACAAATAGATTTTTTTTTCCCGTCAATTTCTGAAACTGTGATCGACTTTAAAAGCGCTGATATCGTAAATAATTATTATTTTGCAAATTATGCCCGCTACCCCGCGCCCAGTGGAGCATACGCTGCCGACCAGTATTCTCCAACCTGATAGGTCTTCGGCTTTCCTGCCCAGTTCTATCCAGTTAGTGTTCATCCTTATCATGTCTGTCACTGATTCCCGGTGTAACGTGTTCCGTGGTCTTCCTCTGTTCTTTTCGCCTTAAGGATTCATTCCAAGTGAGGGTTTTCACGTGACGCACTTGGTTGCTTTCCTCAATGTGTGTCCTACCCACTTCCAGTGCTTCTTTCTCCCTTGGAATCTGGTTTGTTCCCTGTCACAGTAGGTTGTTGCTGATAGTGTCTGGTTAACGAATCAAAAGTATTTCGCGTAGACAACTGATAATGAATACTTGTATCTTTTGAATGATGGCTTTGGTAGTTCCCCCGAGGTTTCTGCCACCCATACAGACAGACAGATACAACGCAGAACTTCGTACGTAAGTACATAAGTTCAGGTTGCCATACCACCACATCAGCACAGACACGCAACTGTCAGTTCAAATCTAAGAGTGATAGCAATAATAGAAGTATTAGCAGTAATCGAGAACATCAGGGAGCGAAGATATGATTCGAGAAGTATAATTCAGTAAGATAAATTTAGAAAGAGAAAGGTAGAGATGATGAGCAATTCAGAAGGTTAGAATTTTATAGTACACAAACAGTGAGTTCTCCCCCCCCCACACAATAGAACTGTTTTGACAGTTGTATTGAAAATTCTCATTTTGGTGTTGATTGATAGTCAGCTATTTTGTGTTCCATATGTTTTTCAAAATGTACAAATACTAGCCTTGCTCTGTCTATATTATCCACAGCTTCACATCTGCATCAGATCCACTGTGCTCATCCATGAGACTGCACAAATACGTAAACGTTTCTACTTCCGTCAAAGCTTCTTTGTCACAAATGTGATTTGGTTGATGCTTATCATTATAACAATCCACTTAAGGTCAAATACACGATTGATTATTTCACCTGATATCTACCTACCTACCTACACCTCTCTACCCAACCTCATGTACACAGTCAACCTGTAGTGAAGGAGAACACAGGTGAGGGCAACCGAATTGTATTTATCGCAAATTACAGAGTTACTCAATAAAATAGGAAAACTATATCGTAACCACCGTTAATTTGCAAATCTTCAATCCATCATCAATCCATTGTCTGACATTTCACTACTGTTCATGCGTTTCATACAAATTCCATTGTGTTCCCACTCTTCCTTTCTTGATCTTCCCCCATCTTCTGCTGCCAGACATTACGTTTACACTCGCGTCATATACTACTTATAAGTAGCGCGCACCACAAACCTTATTATTATTATTATTATTATTATTATTATTATTATTATTATTATTATTACTATTCATTTCATGTTAAGTTCAATTGTAAGAACGTCGTGATATTGACAAAGTGTAAAAGAGAAATCAAATCACACTTACTAATGCACCTTCTAAGCAAGTAGCATAATTATAACCACGACCCATTACTAAAATACTCTTTTTCATATAAATTGTTTTAGCCAATTCTTGTAACGATGAATCCAATTTCAATATAGAACGTATTTGATCTTGATGGGGGTATTTTTATTGAAGGGAAAAAAGAAAACACAAAGAATATAAGCATAGTAAAAGACAATTTGAATGAATAGTTTTGCATTCGAGTATATTATACTTACTTACTTACTTACTTACGCCTGTTACACCCGCAATGGAGCATAGGCCGCACACCAGTTTTCTCCAACCAACTCTGTCCTGGGCTTCCCTTTACAGTTCTGTCCAATGTTTGTTCATTCCTCTCATATCTTTCTCTATTTCTCGGCGTAATGTGTTCCTTGGCCTTCCTCTTTTCCTCTTGCCTTGAGGGTTCCAAGTGAGGGCTTGTCTCGTGATGCAGTTAGGTGCTTTCCGCAATGTGTGTCCTATCCACCACTTCCACCGCTTCTTTCGGATTTCCTCCCCCACTGGAATCTGGTTTGTTCTCTCCCACAGTACGTTGTTGATGGTCGTGTCTGGTCAACGAATTCGAAGTATTTTGCGTAGACAGCTGTTATTAAACACTTGTATCTTCTGGATGATGGCTTTCGTAGTTCTCCAGGTTTCCGCTCCATACAGTAGAACTGTCTTGACATTTGTACTGAAGATCCGGATTTTGGTGTTGATTGATATTTGTTTGGAGTTCCAGATATTTTTCAACTGTAGAAATGATCGTTATTTTTACACATGGAAATCATGAATGACTCATTGCTCAAGATTATCATCATCACCATTATTAGAAATGTGGAAGCACTGAAAGATAGCCAGTTTCGTCTTGGTATGGAATTATTAATCAATCAGCAGTGGCAGTACGCATCCACGATTCCTGCTGCTACTTGCAGGATTCGAAGCCAGGATCTTTGGTCTTGCGTGCAAACGCCTAAACTCTAGAACATACAACAGTGTTCATGTCTAACTCTGGCTATTTTGAATTCCTCATCATTTCTATCTTGTTTTTTCTAGAGTTATTCTCACTGAATCACACTTCTCAAATCGTATCTTCTTCATTACCGCTAATACTTCTACCACTATGGGATTTGAACTGATAGTTGTCTCTCTGTGCTGACGAGGTGTGGCAACCTAAACTTATGTAAGTACATACGAAGCTGTACGTTCTAGCTGACTGACTAATTGAAACTAACTGCTTCGCGTAACCTCACATCAATTGTCTTCGGGATTTTACTGCCTCACATACTTGACAGGGTTCGAACTCCAACTAGTCTTACTGGTGTACATGAAAATAACTATTTGCGCGAAAATCACACACAGTCAAGCAAACCTACATATATAAACGTAATGTCTGGCAGCAGAAGAGGATGGGAGAAGATCAAGAAAGGAAGAGTGGGGGGAACACAATGGAATTTGTATGAAACGCATGAACAGTAAGTGAAATGTCAGACAATGGATTGACGATGGATTAAAGATTTGCAAATTAACCGTTTACGATATGGTTTTCCGATTTTACTCGGTAACTCAGTAATTTTCGTTAAATACAATTCGGTTGCCCTCACCTGTGTTCTCCTTCACTACACTACCACTAATACTATTAAAATTTTTAAATGAATATTAAAAAAAACTTACCAGATAATTTCGACAAGGCGTCAATAATTGCAATACGTTTTGGTTGTAGAGAAATACGATCTTCAGATAAAACTAAAGCAAACATTACTAAAGCAATCACTTGACTTGTATAAGCCTATTTTATAGCGCCATTATTATTGAAAAAAAAAATTAAAAAAAAGTACAACTTTAATGTACACATTACATCAATTGTACATATATATATACATATATTACATTTTAAAATAGAGAAATATTTCTGATCTTCATTATAGATTTATAGCGACTGGGTTCGATTCCAGTGAGCGTGAGTCATGGGATGTGCACTATTGATGAGCAATGCCACTGTTAAATGTGCTTCCAGAGTTCTAATGGTGGTAATCTAACACTGATGATCAATTCATAATTTCGGCTGCCTCGTTGAGCAAAAGTTTTGAGGTGTTGGAGTAGGTTGGAAGAAAGTTAGGGGCGGCCAAACTAAATCACGGCACTGACAAGTGGACTGTGTCATGATGGTAAGTAAGTGTAGACTACCTGGTTGGGGTCCGCGATACGATAGTAATCGATGGTTAGAGACTTAGAGTGACATGGCGCAGGCGCATCCACTCTTTGTGTTCTCCTCAAATTATAATCTTCTGAATTCCTCATCACCTTTTATCTTTTTCGTTTTAAGTTTATTTCACTAGATTCTACTTCTTGAATAATATTATCGAACCCTGAAATTTCCTATTACTTCTTATATGTCAACTACCTGTATTACTATGGGATTTGAATAGACAATTGCGTCACTGGGACAATGTATTATGACAACCTGAACTTATGAACGTACGTACAAAGTTCTCTATTTTCATGACAGTTGATTAGTTACAATCTCTACCTACTCTCAGTTACTTTTGGTTCACTCATGTACGTACAGTTGTTCATTTCCATTTATTGGTGGTCATCTGGTTTGGGTTTTTTTATAAATATGAAGGAATGTCTTGAAATGTAATAACGAAAATCTTCAACTGCTCGTCGTGTAGTCTCTTTAATGTTCCTCTTTCGTTAGGACAAGTTAGTATTGGCCATAAGGTGACAAATCATTTCGCTCTTATTGCGTATTGCTTACTCACAGGTCGAATGAGTAGTAGTAATAATCAGTGCAAAGGACAGAACAATTTCACAATACAATGATTTTCAGGTATATTTTTATTCCCAGATTAAATGAATGATCGAGTTTATTGCTACCAATGTAAAAGTAAAGAGAACCTAAAAAGCAAGAAGACAGATACTACTTTATTTCACTACACAATTAATTATAAGTAGTAGTCACCTCTTAGGGTACTCCAAAGTAGAAACCAATGGTAGTTAAGGAAACCATCTATCTATCTATCTATTTAAAATGGCCAATAGACTAAGTGCCTGTCAGTTCACACACTCAATGACCAATCACGTTTTTCTTTCATTAATTTCTCTACATACATCATGCTGCAACTTGGATGACTTTACCGGTCTCCTAAACATTGTACAAACATTCCATTTACCTAAATTATTAATTGCTCTGGTTGTCAGCAAGGCTGTCGGCCTCGTGACTTCCGAAGGAACTCCGGTTTCATTATGAGACATTATAACTCTTCTAAATTGAGACACATTCTAGTTAGCTTTGTTTTAACGAGTTCGTTTTCTACGGGAAGATGTCACTCTAACCCCCATTATCCAACCGACCTCCTTTATGCCCGAGCCGGCGACCTGCATCATAATGTTAAACGTAAATGTTGTCAAGGTATTATTACTATTATTATTTATAAAAGTTAGAAGTCAACCAATGAATAATCATTCAATCAGCCAGTCAGTCAGTTGCAACGTAGAACTTCGTACGTATGTACATAAGTTCAGGTTGCCATACCACATTAGCACAAAGACGTAGATGTCAAATCAAATCCCATAGTGATAAAGATAGTAGAGGTATTAATGGTAATGAAGAAGACTAGAGTTTGAAGATATCATTCAAGAAGTATAATTCAGTGAGATAAGGTTAGAAAGACAAAGGTAGAGGTGCTGACGAATCCAGAAGATTAGGATTTGAGAGAGCACAACGAATGGATGCACTTGCGCCATTGCGAAAGATTTTGATCCATGTCATTTAAGGTCTCTAACCATCGGTGATCATTGTCTCGCGGACCCTAACCAGGTAGTCTACACTTAACAGCATGACACAGTCCACTTATCAGTGACTTCATGGATTTGTGCCATGTTTTGGTTTGACCGCCCCTAACTTTCTTCCGATCTACTCCTACACTGCAAAACGTAGCTCGTCGAGGCAGTCGGTGGTTATGCATACGTAACACATGTCCCAACCACCTCAACTGATGAAGTTTCACTACTTCATCTATTGATTTTCCACCCTTACCTAGAACTCGTTTCCTAACGACAGCATTGCCTACTCGGTTGTCCCACGATAAACGATCAATGCTTCGGAGACACCGATGATCGAATATTAGTAACCTACGAACATCTTCTACTCTTAAGGGCCATGTTTCGCATCCATATAGGAGAACGGAGCGAACTTCTGCGCAGTACACCCGTCCGTCGATTAGCGAACGGATATCTCGATTATCATTCAATAGTTCACAATTAGGTTGTTCAATTGATAACAACCAAAAAAATATTTTTTTTAAAAAAAAGAAACAAGAGTTCAAATTCTGTAGAAAAAAACTTAAACTACTAAATTTGATATCAGGTTAAAAAAGAAAATATATCTATCTACCAATTGAAACTTCATTAGACAGTTTAAACAATAAGAAGACACAAACGTCATATTTTCTTTTGAAACCATGAATCGATCAATGTTAGACCACACCATTAGAAACCTGGAAGCACTGGACGGCCGTTTCGTCCTGCTATTGGACTCCTCAGCAGTGAGCATCCACGACTCCTGCACCCCGCAGGGTTCGACTCATGGTTTCAAAAAAAAAACTTAACAATCTTCACAACCCCGTAATACAAAGGTCATAGACACACACAGAGAATGTATTTCTAACCAATTTGTATACATTTCTTTTTGAAATGATGACAAACACGCTTATAGTGAAAACTAATCAAAGGATAAGTTTGATGCGCATCGGTTTGCTCCGTTCAACTACATGGACGTGAAACATGACCAGTAAGAGTAGATGATATTCGTAAGTTACTGGGTTCCGATCATAAATGTATCCGAAACACAGCTCATATATCCTGGATCACCGAATAAGCGAAGCCGGTGTTAAGAAAACTGTACACCTACATGTTGGCAGATGTAGGTTACCCGGTTGGTGTCCGCGAGACGAAATTCACCGACGATGATTATAGACCTTGAACGACATGGATTAAAATCGTTTGAAATGGCCACAGGTGCATCCACTCTTTGTCTTCTCTCAAATTCTAATCATCTCTATCTTTCTCTTTCTCAGTGAAATATGCTTCTTGAATAATATCTTTGAACCCTAATATTCTCCATCACTGGTAATACCTCTAATTTCGCTACCACTACAGGATTTAAACTGACAGTCGCGTCTCTGTGCCGATGCGGTATGGCAACCTGAGCACTGATGTACATACGTCCGAAGTTCTACGTTGGACTGACTGATTGGATAAGGATAGCAAATCAACTGATAAAATATGATGAATATTCATCAGTCGATATGGTTGGGACATGTTTTACGTATGCTGAACCACCGGCTGCCTCGACAATCGATGTCTTTTGATGTAGAGCTACGCTAGAAGAAAGCTAAGGGAGACTAATTGTTAGTGGGACATAGATGGAATTAAAGCATGACCACGTTGCTACGCGCTGATTGGCTAATTTCCTATCCAATCAGCGCCTGATCGATCCTTGGTAAACAGGATAGAAAATTCTCGTATTGTTAGCTGTATGCTGATTGGCTAAATCTAATCCAGTCGGTCATGTGAACTACTATCCAGAAGCTTCTCATGTAAATACTATAAAGAAACTAACGTTGTATCTATTTCGCCTTCGCCTTCGGCTTTGGCTTCGTATTTCCATTCAACCTTGCTATTTGAGAATATAATCTTTTCCTGTTCAAGCGTGTTTTTGATTCTTTGGAACTTGTCCATTGTGTTGTGGTCAGAGAATACTAAGCAGTAGGAATTAGCAGAGAATTATTTAGGCAAGCGTTACAACACCAATACAGAGAATGGCACAAACGATGAAGTCACTGACAACAAGACTAAGTCATGTTAGTAAATGAAGACTACTAACTGGTTGTGATCCGAGAGACTGTGATAACCGATGGTTAGAGACTGTGAACGATATAGCTCAAAACCCTTTGCAATTGCACAGCCGCTTCCCATTCATAGTGTTCTCTCAAATTATAATCTTGTGAATTGCTCATGACCTTTTTGCTCCATTCATATATTCGATCCCTGATGTTTTTTTCAAAAACCGCTAACATTTCTACTACTATGAGATTTAAATTAACAATTCAACCTCTCGGTACTAAGGTGGTATGGCAACTCCAACTGATGTACGTACATACGTACACACATGTACACATATCTGACCGACTCACAAAGAGTAAAAACATTCAGGTCTACAAAATTTTTTTACTATGAGCTTTAGACTCTCTCTGAAAAAGTAATCTCTCTGTCAACTGACTAGGCTAATCATCATCATTAAACAAATCAGTTTATATAATCCTCACCAATCTCTTACAAATCGAAATATCTCTCAATAAACAGTAAAATTAAATCACTGACATTTTACAATTTAGATTTATAGGTGTATGTATGTATGTAAATAGATAGATAGATAAAAATAGTTACCTCCTCCTACCTTAGTACTAGCTACTCCAATTTCCGGGCCAGCATTAATATGTACACCACAATGTGATTCACGTGATATTGTTGAACCGACAGTGTTTGTAATGCCTAGTGCAAGTGCACCACGTTTAATACAATAACGCATAGCTAATAAAGTATCAGCAGTTTCACCTGATTGACTAATAAACACACAAACATCATCACGAAATATTGGTGTTTTACGATCTAATAAATCACTGGCTAGTTCAACCATCACTGGTAATTCAGACATTTCTTCAATGAGTGCACGAGTCTAGTTGAATACAAGAAAAACGATGAAAACACATTGAAATAAGGATAAGATGAATGGGAAATTTTTTTAAAAAAAATAAACAATTCAACATAATTATACTGAGTCCTGATTTCGCGCACAGTTGACCTTGACGTTACCTTTTTCACTGGTTGATGTATTATTTAAGCACAGTATTTGTGTGGCTCTCTCAAGGATTTGTTTGTGACTGATTTGGTTTGGCGTGCTGTTACCAGTATGAGGGCGGTTGTCACTTCCAGGCTGTCCATACCATGGAAGGGTGTTACTTGATGAAACAGAAAAAGAAGGCAGATGAGCGTTGGTCTTAGAGAACTGGGAGCGTGACCATAGAGTCCAAAGAACAACTGCTTGAGGCCGGTCACGTACGGTCTTTTTATGAGAAGTTTTTAAAGTGTTAGCTCCGCTCATTAAGTGGCCTTACCGCCTGGGACGGAAATCCGTGAGGTAGGGTGAGGTGTGACATTTTTATGGTTGAACTTTTCTAACCCTTCCGTCCTTGTGAGAAGGCAGAATCGATGCAGATGCTGGTTGTCCGAAGGAAACACCTTACTGCTGTCACACCCCTACACAGTCAGCAGTACGACTTCGTCCTCTCATGTTGAGTAGCTGCTTTTAGTCTCATCGTTCTCCAATCGACCTGCCTGGTACGGTATAACCTTCAGGAATATATGTTCCAACCAATAAAGCTCGGTTGGTTCATCAAGATAGGCAAGCCCAACCACAACGTCAAGGTAGCAGCTACGGTTGGCTCTCTCAATGACGTTTCTATCATGTATAAATGAACTCGATATGTGTGCTTGTTAACTTCAGATTCTCTGAGTGCTTGTAGAATACACTACACCATATCAAGACTTTTTGATATAGATAGCAGGGCCAAGGACAATCGAATCAAAATAGCCTATCGTATCACTGGATCATTTGTCTTCGCTCTCGTTTACCGAGTAAGGTGAACTCATAATATTTTCAAGCAGATAAGTATACATATGTGAAACAGTGTTTAGTAGACACTGCTTGCATTCAATATTCTGAATTGATAAGTTTATAAGGTTACCTTGAATAGGAAAACAAACTAATCAGCATATAGATATGAAGGTTGTTATTTTCAATTTGAAATTATGAATCAAACATTGTTGTCAGACGGCCATTAGAAAAATGGAAACACTCGACGACCGTTTCGTCCTGGTAAGGGACTCATCAATGACAGTATGCATCCATGACCCCCCACTACTCGCAGAAAACAAACCCAGGACCTATCAAAGAAAATGGATGAGGTTGTGCAATACTTTAGGTTGATCAAAACAAGACACTGCAGGATGCCGACTCAGGTGGTCTAGAGGTTAGGCGTCCACAAGCGAGACCGAAGGTCCTGAGTTCGATTCCCGCGACCAGCGGTCGTTGATGAACCCTGATGATGAGTAGTCTTATAGTAGGACAAAACAGCCATCCAGCGCTATTAGGTTTCTAATGATGGTTTACCAATGATCGATTCATGCATGATTTCAAATGCGAAAATCAATTAGTCCACTTTTAGGACCGAAATAAAAATATAGTTGTAATTACTAATGCACAAATAGAATTTGAAATTTTTTATTTCTTCTGATAAGAACATCGTATCAAACTAATTCTTTATTTTGGCAAAGCATTATTGCCCCTATCAAATAAACTCATCCTTGGACACTCAAAAATATTTATGAACTACATCTGATCTTACTACGAAATCAATTTATTTCAATGAGGACAACATTCCGTCTAACCTCAAAATTGGCAGTTTCCCAATAACAATAAACCTTGGGCTATTGATCATTGCACTTGAGCACCTCAAAATGTAACTCACGCTATACTATTTACGAGTGAAAACACAACACATCTTATGCTCGTCAGTTGATATGCTTAAATGCTATTACGGGTTCACCTTACTCGGTAAACGAGAGCGAAGACAAATGATCCAGTGACACTACAAACTACTTTAATCCGAGCGTCCCAAGACCACACTAAGTAGAGAAAGAAGTCTTAACAAGACATAAAAAGTGTATTCTACAAGCACTCAGAAAAAAATGAGGTTGACAAGCACACAAATCGAGTTTCTATTTGTACATGATAGAAACGTCCTTTAGAGAGCCACAAAAATAGCGTACTAAAATAACACAACAGTCAGTCAGTCAGTCAGTCAGATGCAACGTAGAACTTCTTACGTAAGTACATCAGTTCATATTGCCATACCACATTAGCACAGAGATGCAATTGTCGATTCAAATCCAATAGTAGAATAGGTAGTAAATGTATTAGAAGTAATCGGAGAGGTTAGAATTAGAAGACAGTCGGTGGTCGTGCATTCGTAACACATGTCCCAACCACCTCAACTGATGAAGTTTCAATACTCTGTCTATTGATATGCCATCCTTACCTAGTACTCGCTTCCTAACGACAGCATTGCTTACTCGGTTGTCCCACGATTACACATCAACCAATAACAGTTAAAGATTTTCCGAGTGGGAAATATAATCTCAAGGTCAACTACTGATCAACCCATCCGCGAAAGCATCAAATTCCAAAATTTAGGACCTTTATCAAGTGACTTCTGAGGATCAAACATCCCCGCCTCCCAACAATAAATAATGCTGAATTCGAAAATTATTTCACTTGAAATTGTTTGACAGTTTTGTTTCTTGTCATTGTTGTTATTCATTTTTGAAACCATGAATCGATCAATGTTAAACCACCATTAGAAACCTGAAAGCAGTGAAAGACGGCCGTTTCGTCCTGGTAAAGGACCCCACAGCAGTGCGCATCCATGACTCCTGTACCCCGCAGGATTCGAACCCAGGACCTTCGTTATTGCAGGCGAATGCCTAACCATCGGACCACTGAGTTGGTATCTAACGATGTTAGTGTCTAACTTGATCAATTCACGGAGTTGCGCAACCTCATACACAGTCTTCGGTAGTAGTTAATGTCTACACCCGAACAGGTTGAACTTCACTGGTCACGTCTTCCCACTAGAACTCGGAGAAGATTCCTCACGAAGCTAGTCACCAGTGAGCACAGGTAATTATTGCATTACGGGGTTGTGAAGATTGTTAAGTTACACATTTTTGTTATTGTCAAACTTATTTGTACATAAAAATAGACAATTTATAGATGATAGATACATTAGCTTAAAAAATGTATTGTAACAGTATCCATTGATCAAAAGTTATTTACATGACTATTATGATAAACTTTATTATATGTAATTGAAAACTGTGTTGATAAAATAAATATATTAAAAATGTTTCACTGTGTTCATATTGGACTTCAGCATATTTGTAACGATTTATTTACATAAAAAATAATTATTAATAATAATAATAAATCATTTCATTCAATCAATATCAAACATTGTCGTCTACATACAGTATGACAATGAGATTACAATCTATATCTACATAGAGAATGAAATCATTATTGTTTTGTGTATTGGCTATTTATTACTTTGCTTCTACTCTGTTAGGATATTCAATATCCAATAATATCCTAAGAGAATTATTGGTCAGTTCCTATTGGTTAATTTTATGGTTGTCCTGACAATCAATGTCACGTGCTGTAATGTTGTTTCTTATTGGTCGACTTAACTACCAATGTCACGGACTTCGATGCTGTTTCCTATTCGACCTAAATGTATAAATACTCATTATCTGTAACGTTTTATCAGGGATCCTGATTCCCTTCTGGACTCGGACCTCGTACTTTCTGGATGCTTGTAGAATACACGTTCTACTTCATATTAAGTCTTATTCTTTTACTCAATGGGGGATTGGGACACTCGGATTAGAGTAGCATGTCGTGTCACCGGATCCTCGGTCCTCGTTCTCATTTTCCGACTAAGGCAAACTCGTAATAGTTCGAGTATATCAAGCTGACGTGTTTACATGCAGGCGTAACACTATATTACTGATTATTATTTTTACAATCAAAGTGATTGAGTTACAATCTTACTATTAGTCTATTTATAAAATAACAGGAAAGTTTTAAATGTTTACAACACATTCTTCTTCTGATAAACGTATTGCATTTACACCCTCATTATTCGTAATTAATTTGATTAGGTTGAAATCATGAGTCAATCATTGTAAGACTACCACCGGAAACCTGGAAGCATTGGATGGCTGTTTCTTCCTGGTATAGGACTGCCTCATCAGCGACAGTATACATCCAAAACTCCCACTACTCGCGCTCAAGACCGAAGGTCCTTGGCTCGATTCCTGCTAGTAGTGGGAGTCGTGGATGAGCACGGGTCATGGCCAGACAACCTCGCCCCCAAAAAAAATAAAATAGTTATGAGTATCATGTAGAAGCATTGAAACCTCAATGACAATACGACAAATCAGCCTGAATATAAAAATGATGTTTCTAATCACATAACAAAAAACGGTACAACTTGTTCGCAATTGTTGTGAGAAACATCTTTTCAAAATAATTGGTGAATGCTGATTCAGGAAAAAATTACTCTTCTATCATCGTCCATTATCAGTCTATATTGGTTTTCTGTATCAACGACCTGATTGTGCCAGTCAATTGCAGTGGATTCAATAAGATTATTTACTGATTGAAAGTGTTACTGGTCCTAGATAAGGATGGCCGATCAATAGATGAAGTGGTGAAACTTCATCAGTTGAGGTGGTTGGGACATGTGCTGCGTATGCCTAACCACCGACTGCCTCGACGAGCTTTGTTTTGTAGTGTAGGAATAGGTTGGAAGAAAGCTAGGGGCGGCCAAACCAAAACATGTCAGAAGTCGATGTAGTCACTGACAAGTGGACTGAACCGTGTTGGTAGATGTAGACTACCTGGTTGGGGTCCGCGAGATGATAGTAACCGACGGTTAGAGACTCTGAATAACATGGCTCAAAACTGTTTGTGTTCTCCTGAACCCCTCATGATCGCTTTTTTCTCTTTTGAAATTTATCCCACTTGGATGTACTTGTTGAATAATATCTTCCAACCCTATTCTTTCCGATCACTGCTAATACTTCTACTACCTCTACTACTAATATGTTATATCAATTTACAATTTCGTATCTGTCTGCTGATACAAATCATGTGGTTAGGCGTTCACGCGCAGGACCTTAGCTCTTGGGTTCAAATTCTGCGACTTGTAGGAGTCATGGATGCGCACTGCCAGTGATGAGTAGTCTCATAATACCAATACGAAACAGCCGTCTAAACAGTACTTCCATTGAGAAGTATCACCTACATTTATCATAGTTGTACACAGAAGAGAACAGAACAGAATAGAAAAAGAAACGATATGAAAAGGACAGAGAGTAGTAGTAGTAGTACTACTTACTGCAACTGCACTATGATAACTAGTTCCACAACCAATGAATATCAATCGACGACAACGACGTATTGCACTTAAATGTTCCGCTAGACCGCCCAATTTCACAGTATTCATATCAAATTTTATTCGACCTCGCATTGTATTCAATACAGATTCAGGTTGTTCAAATATTTCTTTTTGCATGAAATAATCATAATTACCTGTGAATTTAAAAAAACAACAACAACATTTTTTTTAAGAGAGATATAAAATCTGCATTACGGGCTGGTGAAGATTGTTAAGTTACACATTTTTTTGAAATCATATGAATCGATCAATGTTAGACCGCCACCATTAGGAGAAACCTGGAAGCATTGAAAGACGGCCGTTTCGTCGTGGTATGGGACTACTCATCAGTGGCAGTGTGCATCCATGACCCCTGCACCCTGCAGGAATCGAACCCAGGACCTTCGGTATTGTGCGCGAACGCCGTAACCGTCGGACCACTGAGCCGGTACTTAACGCTGTTAATGTCTAACTTGATCAAATTCACGGAGTTATTATGGTTGTTTTATCTGTCTAAGTCAAATACTTCAATGTTGTCTCTTATTGGTGGTCATCCGGACTATCAATGTCAATTCAAATGTTCTTTCTTATTGGTCGTCTTAACTGTCAATGCCACAGAATTCGATGCTCTTCCTATTTGACCAAAATGTATAAATACGCATTATCTGTAACGTTTTATGACCACGACCATGACCCGGTCCCGGATCCCTAGTCCGGGATCCTGATTCTCTTCTGGATTAGGACCTCGTACTATTTGGATGCTTGTAGAATACAGGTTCTACTTCATATCAAGTCTTGTCTTCTTATTTTCACTCAATATGGGGGTTGGGATAATCGGATTTGAGTAGCATGTCGTGTCACCGGAGCCTCGATCCTCGCTCTCGTTTCAGACCAGGTAAACTCGTAATAGTTGAAGTATATCAAGTTGACGTGTTTACGTGCAGGAGTAACAAGTATCCCATGACAATGATTGTATAATCAGTAGTCTAAAGAATTTTACTAAATATATAAGAGAGAGGTTTATCCGATAGCTTTTATTGTTTTAGCTGATAATCACTCTGTTAACTGAGCCTAGAGCACTTCTTAGGGTTACTACCGGTCCAATTAAAGATAAAGGAGTGTTGTGCATACACGTAAACACGTCATTTTGATAGACGTGAACTATTATGAGTTTACCTTAGTCAGTAAACGAGAACGAAGATCGATGATCGAGCGACACGACATGCTACTCTAATCCGAATGTCCCAACCCCCATTGAGTAAAAGAAGAAGACTTGATATGAAGTAGAACCTACGTTCTACAAGCACCCAGAAAGTACGAGATCCGAGTCCAGAATAGAATCACGATCCCGGACTATGGATCCGAGTCCGGGTCCTAAAGCGTTACAGATAATGCGTATTTTGCACATTTAGGTCGAACAGGAAGCAGCATCAAAGTCTGAGACATTGGTAGTTAGGTCGACCAATAGGAAACAACATTTGAAGTGACATTGACAGTCAGGATAACCAATAAGAAACAAAAATGGAGGACGTGACATTGATGTCTAGGACGACCATAAAATTGACCAGTAGGAATTAAGCAATAGGTATTGACCAATGATTATCGTATGATATTGGACGAATATTCTAACAAGGAGTAGGGTTGGGAAATAGGGGTTAGGTGACCCCAACTCGCTATAAAAATGCTAACAAGAAAAAATAATTCATTGCCCTGAAAATTAGAAGGTCTTTATTTAGAAGAGTTATAACGTCTCATGATGAAAGCCTAGTTCCTTTGGAAGTCACAAGACCGATGCCCTTTTTGACAACCACAGCACTTTCACGGTGTGAGTAGTCGGGAAGTAACATTCGCCCTCCTACCTATAAAAGCACACGAGACGAAATCCGTCGGAATCAAATAATTTCTATACCTACTAATAACTCCGCTATCTCCATAACAAACCCTTTTTTCGTTCCTTTGATACCTAGCACCGCTGAAGAATATGCTTCGAGCTCACGAAATGTTATTCCTGGTCTCCTGAAATCCTGCTCTAAACTACATATTAGAGAGTTTAATGTTCGATAGTAATCGATAGTTAGTTAGAGATCTTGAATGACGAGGCTCAAAACCGTTTGCAATGACGCAGGTGCATTCATTCTTTGTGTTCGCTCAAATCCTAATCTTCTGAATTCCTGACGACTGGGTTTTTTCGCTTTTTTTAATCGATTCCTCCGAGGTATACATCTCGAGTAATATATATTAGATAATTATTCTTTTTGATTACTACTAATACTTCTACTACCTCTACCACTATGGGATTTAAATTGATAATTGCGTCTCTGTGCTAATCTAGTATGGCGACTTGAACTGATATACGTAGTTCTATGTTGTAACTGACTGACTGACTGACTTTTTTAGCTGACAGTCAGTCTATTAACTCCGCCTGGAGCCCTTCTACAGTTACTGACGGTCCCAAGCCCGAGTAAAGGAGGAGGGCTGAGCATGAGGTAAGCGATCTCATCCTGTAGAAATCCAACTAGCTAAAAAGAATGCTAACCAGGAAAATAATTCGCTGGTCGGTAGCCTATGCTCCATTAGGGGTAACAGGCGGAAGTAAGTAAGTAATCAGTCTATTGATAGAAACATTTCTATTCAATAATACTTTATGTTAACGCCTCAGCAGTACCATTAAGTCACAAGCATTATTCAACACTGAAACCAAAGTAGCACATTTCATCCCATTTAGGGCGCATCAGCTAGATGAATCTGCATCTTAGAGTTGATGTTGACTAAGGGACTACTTCAACCCAATGCTGATCGCTTCAAAAGCGCATCGCATCATTCACTTAGCTATGAAGTCCACATATTGATCGGTGTATGTGTGGGTGCGTGTGAGTGTGTGCGCATGTGTACAAGGATAATGATTAAAGTGATGTCAGTCAGTCAATTATTAAATCATATTCACCTTTCATAATTTGTTGTAATTCCATTTGTAAAGTAACAACTTCACGTGTTGTTGATGCACTTCGTGATAAACGATGAATTGTCAGTTGACCATCATGAACAGATGCTACATCATCATCTTCAAGAAATATCACTTTATCTGTATGTTCTATCAGTGCACTAGAAATCGGAAAAAAATCAATATATGAATCAATAAAAGAATTAAGGAGAAGAATATCCGAAAAGCATAAGATAAGATGATTATGATCAATAGTGGGATTCTAAGCATTTAAAGTATTGACTTAAATCAAAATTATGAATCAATCGTTGTTAGACCACCACTAATAGAAACCTGGAAGCACTAGATGGACGTTTCGTCCATGTATGAGACTCTTTAACAATGTGAAAATACAAGACCCGCGGTCGCAGTGACCGAACCCAGGAGTTTCGGTTTCGCGTGTGAACGATTAAACCTCCAGATCACAGCTGAGCAGGCAACCAATGGAGTTAATGTTCAAATTTGATTGTTCGCAACCTCACCAATTGTCTTCGGTACATAACTGCCCACACCCGACAGGGTTCAACCCCATTGGTCACGGCTTCTCATTAGAATTCAGAGAATTCCTTCACAAAGCTAATCACTAGTAGATACCTTGTATGGTGTTCATTATAGAGTGATGGAGACTGTGGTGTTACATGGAAAGCACGAGTCAATCATCACACTGCTGAAAAGTCCCATACTAGGACGAGACGGTCATCCAAGGGGTTCCAAGTTTCTAATGGTCGTCTAACACCGATTGATTCATGATTTCAATGAAATAGAACAGCCTGTGTAACTAACTCTGTAATTATTTTGGCTGAACATCAAAAATTAATATATTCTGGTTTCAGGTTTTAAACTGTTATCAATGAATATGGAAATGAACCATACACAGAATGGTGCAGATCAACTGATTGAGATTTGCACAACTATCGTAATCAACAGTTTCGAGACTTGTTTAGCCTTAGATCCTGACTTTTAAGATCTATTTCGTACTCCCTTTTTTCTTTTCCTCTACAAAAACAACTATTATCGACTAGTCACTAATCCTATTGTGGAGTATACACTACTCACAACGTAGCTTATAAGTAGTATGCGGTGGATATGCAGAAGAATGTCGGATCTCGATGTATGGTGCAAGTGTTTTGAAGACTAGAAGACGTATGGGGGAGAAGTCAGCCGACAAACCACTTTATTGTGGAAATAAAGTTTGAAGCTAAAGTGTACATATTTTGCTAGTAAATTAAAATCAGTTAATGCATCTGGTCTTACCGTTTTAAATCATTACACTACCACTCTTGTGGTGCGAGCTACTTATAAGTAGTATATGACGCGAATAAAAACGTAATGTCTGACAGCAGGAGATGGGAGAAGATCAAGAAAGGGAGAGTTAGAACACAATGGAATTTGTATGAAACGCATGAATAGTGACAATCGATTGATGTTTTGCAACAGGAACAGTCCAGTTCGATATGATGATGAACTGATATTTTGCAAATTAACGATTTACGATGTGGTTTTCCTATTTTACTGAATAACTCTGTAATTTTCGGTTGCCCCACCTGTGTTCTCCTTCACTACACTCTGGGCTTTCTGATTAGGCTAATGAGATATGGCATTTTGAAGCGAAGTACATATGTGCATATAACTGACTGATTTTGCAGAAAATATACACAACTGACAAGTATTTTTTTTAAAGACAATCTAAATAGCTCTCATTGTGAAAGTTGAGTTATTAGCAGTAGAATTAATCAGGATTTATTGTAAAAATATGACAAAAATCTATTTAGAATCCTTAAAATCTTACAATAACATAAGAAAATTCACTAAAACATAATGCAGAAACTAAGTATAGCCTTATGTATTGTTTCATATATGTAAAGGTCAATGACAAAATACACACAATAAATAGTCAAGGTTTAGAAAAGTCAGTCAGTCAGTCAGTCAGCTACAACGTACAACTTCGTACGTACGTACGTACATCAGTTGAAGTTGCCATACCATATTAGCACAGAGATACAGTTATCAATTCAAAATCCTATAGTGGTAGATGTAGTACAAGTATGAGCGGTAATCGTCAGTCAGTCAGTCAGTCAGTCAGTTAGTCAGTCAGTTACAATGTAGAACTACGAGCATGCGTACATTAGTTCAGGTTGCGACACCGCATCAGCACAGATACGCAACTGTCAGTTCAAGTCACGTATTGGTGGAGATAGTAGAAGAATTGGTGTTAATAGAGAATATTAAGGATCAAAGATATGGTTCGGGGAATCTAGAATCTAGTGAAATAAACTTAAAAAGAAAAAGTAATGAAGAATTAAGAAGTTTAAAATTTGAGAGTAGACAGAGAGTGGATGCATCTGCGCCATTGAAAACGATCTTGAACCATGTCGTTCAATGTCTCTAACCATCGGTGACTTTCGTCTCGCGGACCCCAACCAGATAGCCTACATCTACCACCATGACTCAGTCCACTTGTGAGTGACTTCATGCATTTGTGCCATGTTTTGGTTTCGCCACTCCTAGCTTTCGTCCAACCTATTCATACATCACAAAACATAACTCGTCGAGGCAGTCGGTGGTTAGCCCTACGTAACACATGTCCCAACCACCTCAACTGATGAAGTGTCACTACTGCGTCTATTGATCTGCCATCTTACCTAGTACTCGTTTCCTAATGGCAACACTGCTTACTCGGTTGTCCTAGGATACACGAGCAATTCTCCGAAGACATCTATAACCGAATGCTAATAACCTGCGAATTTCCCCTACTCTTACCGGCTATGTTTCGGATCTACATAGTAGGACTGAGAGAACTGATAAGCCGTACACTCCTCCTTTGGTTAGCAGATGGATATCTCGCATACACCATAAGTGACGCAGGTTGGCAAAAGCCAATCGAGCCTTCTGTATCCGAGCTGAGATTTCGTCAGTTACCAGGCCATCGGCACTGATGAGACTCCCAAGATAAGTGAGGCGGTCAATATGCCCAACTGCTTCACTCCCTATCACTAGTTCAGGTGCCGATGAAACCCAATCTTGAAGCAACATTTTGCATTTCGAGGGTGAGAACCGCATCCTGAACATGCTTGCATTGTTGCGCTTATGGTAGTCAGAAGACTCTGCATTTTGTCATCGTCTTCACCAAATAGAACTATGTCATCGGCATATTCTAAGTCAATAAGCGAGCCACCTGGTAGAAGGTCTACTACTGGAAATTCAGACGAGGATAATGCTATATCTAGAATCAAGAGTATGACAAAATTAAACAAGAATGTAGAGAGTGGACATCCCTGACGAACACCACTTGAATTAAAGAATTCGAATGACAGTTCGCCATAAGCCCTCACTCGACTGGTCGTGTCCGAGTAGAGAGCTTGTATAAACCAAATGTACTTCTTTGGTACACCTTCTAATGACGGACACTGCCACAGAACCTCACGTTCGACAGTGTCGAATGCCATCTTAGGGTCAAAAGGAATTCAGAAGATTAGAATTTGAGGGAAGACAAAGAGTTGATGCATCTGCGACACTCTTTGTTACTAAAAGATATCAATACATTCAGATGAATTTGACTGAAATCATGAATCGATCGATGTTAGACAACCATTAGAAATCTGGAGGAGCTGAGTGGCCGCTCCGACCTATAATGAGACTTCTCAATAGCGCGCATCCATGACCCCGAGAACGAGGTAACTGCCTTACATCCATCACGGTCAAACTCCATTGGCCACGGCTTCCCACTAAAACTCCGAGAATCTCCTCTCGAAGCTAATCATTAGCAGGTACATGATAATTATCGGAATAGGATTGTGAAGATAAAACTAACAAGACAACTATCAAACATTTTATGAATCTTAAATACTAATTCAACTGCTGACTGACCATTCAAATATCTAAAAAAATCAACTGATTCACATACAGCCAGCTTATATAGGAATAAGGTATTTTTCATCCCTAATCAAGCATTGAAACTTCATCAGTTGAGGTGGTTGGGACATGTGTTACGTATGCCTAACCAACGACTGCCGCGACGAGCTATGTTTTGTGGTGTAGGAATAGGTTTGAAGTAAGCTAGGGGCGGCCAAACCAAAACATGGCAGAAATCCATGAATTCACTGACAGACAAGTGGACTGAGTTATGTTGGTAGATGTAGGCTACCACCTGGTTGGGGTCCGCGAGACGATAGTCACCAATGGTTAGAGACCTTGAACGACATGGCTCAGAATCGTTTGCAATGGCGCAGGTGCATCCACTCTTTGTGTTCTCTCTAATTCTAACCTTCTGAATTCCTCATAATATCTGTCTTTATCCTTTCAAATCTATCTCACTAAATTATATTTCTCGATTCATATCTTCGCTCCCTAGTCTTCTCCATTACTGCTAATAATTCTACTATCGCTATCACTCTTGGATTTGAACTGACAGTTGTGTCTCTGTGCTGATGTGGTATGGCAACCTGAACTGATGTACTTATGTACGCAGTTCTGCATTTTATTTGTTTGTCTGTCTGTCATTCCTAATGATGATAAATGACAGTAGAAAATTAAAAAACACACATTCACCAATATATAATAATGACTACTAGTAGTTGTTATTTTTTTACTTACCTTGCACAACTTGCAAAGAAAAATTCAATTTCACGATGACCATCTGCTCCACTTAAACAATGTGTCACTTGTTCCATAGATGAATCACCTGACTCAGTATGTCCATCATTCGATACTGGTCGAATATTATAAGTTGTGTTAGAAGCTTTGCACAATGAGTAATACAGAGAGAGAGAGAGAGAGAGAGAGAGAAAACAGAAGAAAAAACGAAGAATAGATAAGATTGTCAACCCAAAGATATCTCACATAGGACACATTGGACTTGTCAAACAGACATTAACAACAACGAATAAAATTAAGGTATAATCAGAAATTGTTCGGCAACATTATCCAGTAATTATAGATTCGTGAAACATTTTTATCAGATAACCAGTCAGAAGAAAAATATCCAAAGACTTTTAATGTGTGAAACATCATTGAAACCTGTGATGATGTGATCATTAGCTTAGTGAAAAATTCATTGAATCAAAAGTCAAACAAGATTGCAGACTCATTGAATAGTCATGTTAAGTTGAGGCACAAGACATTAGTTCAACTCTACATTCACGAAGCTTGACATAATCATCACTGACTGACTTCATGGACATACATGTTACAAGTAGTGTTTTGTTCACCCTGGTAGATTTCCTCTACTCTAATCCTTAACAATGAAACAATACTATACTATAACTAAAAAATACACCAACATGACCGAACATCTTGAGCATCAATCAATGTAGGAACGTGTTGGGATAGCATTGCTCTCCCCGCCCAATATGCAAAATGTTACTTCAGGACTAGTCCACGTTATGTGACATAGCTAAGGATTGTCCATTATTGCGCATATAATTTCATTGTCTATCTTCATCTCGATCTTGAATTCCAGTATGTGATATGATGACTTGAACTAACTTATATATGTAACCAAACTGTACATTTATGTTATGTTCGTCACTAGGTATGCTTGAAGTTATTACGACGAGTTCACCTTAGTCGATAAACGCGAACGAGACAATCAACCAGCGTCCAGATATGCTAACTTGGATCCCAAGCTGTAGACAGAAGTCTTCAAAAGCGTAGAAAGTATATTCTACAAACACCCAGAAATCACACAATACAATCAAGCATACAACTCTCGTTTATTTATACATCATAGAAACGTCATTGGGACAGTTGAGAAAATAGCACACTAAAATACACAGCAGCCTGGTGGGAAATGAAATCTCAAGGTCAACTGATCAGCGCATACATGCAAACGTGAAATCCAAAATAAGGCATTTAACAAGCGAGTGTTGGGGATCTAACATCCCCAACAATTTATCACACTGACTAGTCGACGTGAATTGGCTAACTTGAACTAACTGGACATAATCCTTTATTAAAATTTGTAGGAGAGTTCAGACAAAAGGTTATAAACAATTTACGCCAATCGATCGGTTAAGTGAACGCAGTGCATAGGCACACAAGGTAAGCTTTCATTTGCAATCTCCAAGGCCGAAAGAAAAGAGGAAGATCAAAAAAGCTCATTACGCTAACAGATGAATACAGACATAGGCAAGAACGAAGAAAAATCAGATTGAACTAGAAAGAAAGGCCTGGGAGAAGAGTAGGTTAGAGAGAATGCTAGTCGGCGACCTACACTCAACTAGGGGAAGGATTTGATCTCGACCAATTTGGTCTCGTGTGCTGTTACGGGTATGAGGGCGGTTGTCACTTCCCGGCTGCAAACACCGTGGAAGGTTGTTTCTTGAGGTACCTGAAAAGGAAGGCAAATGGGCGTTGGTCTTGGAGACCTGGGTGCGTGACCGCAGAGTCCAAGGGACAGCTGCTTCAGGCCGGTCACGCACGGCCTTTTGATGAAGGGTTTTTTGAGTAGTAGCTCCGTTCTTAAAGGTCTTTTCTGGGCACCCTTAGCGCCAGAAACAGAAATCCGTGAGATAGGGTGAGGTGTGACATTTTTAAGGTCGACCTTTTCTAACCCCTTCCTTCCTTGTGGGAAGACAGCATCGTTGCAGATGCTGGTTATCCGAGGGAAACACCTTACTGCTACTGTCACACCTCTCTACAGTCAGCAGTACGACTTCGCCCCCAGACCTTGGGTAACAGGTGTAAAAAAAAACTAAGTCAGTAAAGTGTATACAAAAGGTAGAAATAATAGAAACTTGTAAATAAACAATCTGACTTCTCAATCAATGTTAGTTTAATCACAGCTTTGATATATTTAACATTTCAAATAAATAAGGACACAACTCATGAACTTGTTAAAAATATTATTGTCAATTTGATAAATCACAATCAAACTAGACAATTTGATTAGATGAAGAAAGTAAAAAAATAAGAAATCAAGTAAACAATATCAATCAAACTGTTATGAATCAATCAATAAAAACTGTTAGGGGTTAGTTTGATTTACGTACGTACGTGCACAAACTGTTGAAGAACTGATAATCACTAATATTTATAAAAACGTAGATAAAAAAAACATCGAAACAGCCAACCACGGAACTGCCAATCGATGTTGGCCCACCATCAGACTAATCAAGAGCGGAAAAGCAGCAGGACAAGACAACATTCCAGCAGAGGCAGCCGAAGCAGACGTGGTAGTAACTGCAAAAATACTCCGCATTGTCTTCAACAAGATTTGGGTGGAAGAACAAGTACCAACAGGTTGGAAAGAAGGATGATACCTCATCGAAATACCAAAGAAAGACGATCTCAGCAAGTGTGAGAACTGCAAAGGCATCACTCTTCTTTCAATACCAGGCAAAGTCTTCAACAGAGTATTGTTAAACAGAATGAAGGACTTCGTAGACGCCCAACTTCGAGATCAACAAGCCGGATTTTGTAAGAATCGATCGTGTACTGACCAAATTGCTACATTACGGATCATTGTGGAACAATCAATTAAATGGAATTCACTAGTCTACCTAAACTTCATTGATTACGAGAAACCATTCGGTAGCGTGGAAAGGACAACACTATGGAGGCTTCTTTGACACTACGATGTGCCTGAGAAAATAGTTAACATCATACGGAATTCTTATGATGGATTCAACTGCAAAATCGTACACGCAGGACAGCTAAAAGAATATTTTGAGGTGAAGACCGGTGTCAGGTAAGGTTGCTTACTCTCACCCTTTCTCTTTCTCCTGGTCATCGACTGGATTATGAAGACGTCGACATCTGGAGTGAAGCACGGTATTCAATGGACAGTTAGGACTCAGCTGGACGATCTGGACTTCGCAGATGATCTGGCTGTTCTATCGCACACGCAACACCAAATGCAAGAGAAGACGACCAGTGTAGCACCAGCCTCTGCAGCAGTAGGTCTCAACATACATAAAGGAAAAAGCAAAATTCTCCGATGCAACACATGTACCAACCAAATCACTCTTGGTGGAGATGACTTGGAGGACGTTAACACCTTTACATATCTGGGCAGCATCATCGACGAGAAAGGTGGATCCGATGCAGATGTGAGGGCGCGGATTGGCAAAGCAAAACTGCATTTCTGCAATTGAAAAATATCTGGAACTGCAAACAACTTTCAACCAATATCAAAATCAGGATATTCCATACAAATGTTAAGACAGTTCTACTGTATGGAGCGGAAACACGGAGAAATACGAAAGCCATCATCCAGAAGATAAAAGTGTTTATTAACAGTTTTCTACGCAAAATACTTCGGATTCGTTGGTCAGACATCATCAACAACAACGTACTGTGGGAGAGAACAGACCAGATTCCAGCGAAGGAGGAAATCAGGAAGAAACGATGGAAATGGATAGGACACACACTGCAGAAAGCACGTGACTGCGTCACGAGACAAGCCTCACTTGGAACCCTCAAGGTTAAAGGAAAGGCGGAAGGCCAAGGAACACATTATGCCGAGAAATAGAGAAAGATATAGGAATAATGAACACCAAATGAACAAAACTAGAAAGGAAGGTCTCGGACAGAGTAGGTTGGAGAATATTGGTCGGCGGCCTATGGTCCATTGGTGGTAACAGGCGTAAGTAAGTATGTAAGTAAAGATTAAAATTATGTCAATACGCTTGATATGGTCCAAAGGTCAGGCATTCACGTGCAAGATGGAAGGTCCTGGTTTCGAATCTTGCAAATAGCAAGAGTTGTGGATGCGCACTGCTGTTCAATGCTTCCAAGCTTCTAATAGTGGTGGTCTAACAATAATCGACTGATGATTTCAATGTGCACAAAAAAAACACTAATCGCCATCACTCCAATTGAGGCAACAAAAAAAATAATAATAATAACATGCTTTTAACAATCAACCAGCAATACAAAACAAGACAAGCAAACAAAAGAACCTGTCTCTACATCGTCATCATCGTCATCATCATGATCATCATCTTACCATTCGGAAGTGAGTTCAATAGTTCTGTGTTAAATAAAAACAAATGTTTAAATAGGTTATCTGCGTAAAACAAACACATTGTGTAGGTCATCCTCATGATCATCATCATCATCATCATCAGTATGGAAAAATCAACAATATTTCCAAATCTTAAACAGCAAAAAAATATTAAACAATAGCACTCGTTAATATAATCCATTGGACAGTTAGAGTTTTGGAGATTTGTATTTTTACACATTTGAAATCATTAATCAATCATTGTTAGACCACTCACTACATGTGCTCACTAGTGACTAGTTAGCTTCGTGAGGAGATTCTCGGAGTTCTAGTTAAGAAGATGTGACCAATGGAGTTCAACCCTGTCGGGTGTAGACAGTAACTACCAAAGACAAATGGATGAGGTCACGCAAAATCCCTAGATCAATCAGAGTTAGACAGTATAACACCGTTGGATGCCGGCCCAGCGGTCCGATGGTTAGGCGTTCGCGCACAATACCGAAGGTTCCGGGCTCGAATCCTGTGAGGGGCAGGAGTCGTGGATGCGCACTGCTGATGAGCAGTCCCATAACAGGACGAAACGGCTTCCAAGTTTCTAATGGTGGTGGTCTAACAATGATTGACTGATGATTTCAAATGTGTATAATCCACTGTATTTACCGGTATACATCTGCGTCTATGAGGGCGCGCGCATATAGTCAACACACAATAAACATTACAGAGGAGAAGAGTAATAACGATTTTGCACATACAAAATAGATGGTTGACCAGAGATCAAGGACAATAAAAACCAAAAACAATCTCAACAACAAACAGCCTTAGCGTTGCCCCCCCCCCAACAACGTTGTTTTGTTTTTCTTTTGCTAAAACTCGCATACATTTGTCTCGTTTGAGTGTTATTCGCTAAAAAATATGCTGTCCTATTGTCTGTTCCATGGTTTGCGATCAATAATGCAGTGAAATGATAAGATTACGGTGAGAGAAAACATACAAATGCATACAAATATATATAACAAAAAGGTAATAGAACATACTATTCGGTTTATAAAATACCGGTATATGATTCATGGTCAATTCATGTGGACTTTTAATGCCAACTAACATTGGTGAACCACGCCTACAGAGGGGGGGGGGGAAAGAGAAAGATATTTACAATATATCAAAATAAATTATTTGTAGAATAGTGAATAAGTAGTAGTTACGATATTGCAGACAGACAGACATAAACAACGCAGAACTTAGTACATAAGTACATCAGTTCAGGTTGCCATACCACATCAGCACAGAGACGCAACTCTAAGTTCAAATCCAAGAGTGATTGTAATAGTAGAAGTATTAGTAGTAATGGAGAAGACTAGGGAACAAAGATATGATTCGAGAAGCGTAATTCAGTGAAATAAATTTAGAAGGAGAAAGATAGAGATTATGATGAATTCAGAAGGTTAGAATTAGAGAGAACACAAAGAGTGGATGCACCTGCGCCATTGCAAACGATTCTGAGCCATGTCATTCAAGGTCTCTAAACATTGGTGACTTTCGTCTCGTGCTGGATTTACGGTCAGGTTATTGGCAACTACCTATAAAAGATAGCGATCGCAACAAGACAGCATTTACTATACGGGATAAACAGTATCAATTTAAACGAATGCCGTTCGGGTTGACGGGTGCACCGTTTACGTTCAGAAGATTAATGACGCTACTGCTCAAGAATCTGGATAACGTGGCGACGATGTAGTTGTATACAGCCTGACGGAAACAGATCACATCAAGCATGTGGAAGCAGTCTTAAAGCGAATTGACGAATTTGGGCTGCGAATTAATAAGGAAAAGTCGCAGATAGCGAAAAACAGCGTCATATTGTTGGGACATAAAGTGGGAAATGGAGAAATAAAGCCATTACCAGAGAAAATTCTTACCATAAAAAATATTGCAGTACCTAATTCGAAAAGGAAGTTGAGACAGTTCCTGGGAAGAGCGGCGTTCTATAGTCGGTTTGTCAAGAATTTCAACGAAATAGCAGCGCCCTTATATAAGTTGCTGAGCAACACCAAGTTTACACGGACTGAGGCTGCCGAACAAACGTTCAACCGAATCAAAAACATGCTAGACGATCGTCAGATGATGCTGCGACTACCTGAACTCGGAAAACTGTTTACAGTGGCCACAGATGCAAGTTACGATATTGCACCGAAAAGGTGTTATACACATACATGTATTATACGACTCATTTAGTCAGTCGGTCAATCAGGCAACCAACTAGACAGGGTTATGCAATGTTAATGAGAAATAAAATTTATCGTCCTAAACGGAGTGAAATGAGCAAACTTTTTTTGAAGCCGAATATCGAATGAGCATAAGTTTTGTGAAACTTGACCTTTCCAAGTTGTGAATGTTTGGCCATAGTGGGTAACACTCAGCTACAGACGGTGAAAGAGTTGTCTGTAAGAAGCTACTTGGTGAAAACAATGGAAAAATTCCGGGTCTTCTGACCACCTTGGGCAACAATTCGTGATCGGGTTGCGATTCACCCCGCCGAAATGCAAAATGTTGTTTCAGAATTGGCTTGAGTCGGCACCTGATCTAGTGATCGGCAGTAAAGTTGTTGAGCGTGTTGACTACTTCACTTAGGAGTTTCATCAGTCCCGATGGGCTGGTGTGTAACAAAATCTCAGCGTAGATATAAAAGGCTTGACTGGCTTTTGCTAACTTGCTTCATTTATGGAGTAGGAGAGATATTCGTCTAACAACCAAAGGACGAGTCCACTGAGTACCAATACGCTCCGTTCTACTACATGGGTATGAAACATGGACAGTGAGAGTAGAGAATATTCGTAGGCTATTAGTATTCGATCATAGGTGTCTTAGAAGCATTGCTCATATAACCTGGGACTATCGAGAAAACAATGCTGGTATTAAGGGAAAAGGGTACTAAATCACAATGGACTAAACTTCAACACTCAGTCGAATGGAAAGAATTAAACATACTTACAAACTAACCGATTTGTTTAGCAGTAATGTCAGTCAGCTACAATGCAGAACTTCGTACGTACGTACGTACATCAGAGTTCTAGTTGCCATACCACATTAGCACACAGGTGCGCTTGTCAATTCAAATCCTATAGTAGTGAAGTTAGTACAAGTATGAGCAGTAATTATTCAAGTAGTATAATCCAGTGAAATAAATTTGAAAAGAAAAAGATAAAAGTGATCAGGAATTCAGAAGATGCATCTGCGGCCATTGCAAACGATGTCATCCATTAGTGGTAATCATGAAATAAGAATCAGAAAAATACTTTGTTCAAGAAAATTAATGAATTATCCTGAATGAAATTACAAATACTATTTTTACACAATGAAATCATCAACCAATCACTGTTAGATCACCATTAGAAACCTGAAAGCATTGGACGGCCGTTGGGACATGTGCTGCGTATGCCTAACCACCGACTGCCTCGTCCAACTATGTTTTGTGGTATACGAATAAGTTGGGAGAAAGTCAAGGGTGGCCAAAACAAAACACAGCACAAATTTATGAAGTCATTGACAAGTGGACTGAGCCATGCTAGTGGGTGTCGACTATCTGGTTGGGGCCCGCGAGACGATAATAATTGACGGTTAAAGACCCTGAATGTCATGGCGCAGGTGCATTAATTCACTGTGTTCTCTCAAATCCTGAACTTTTTAGTTCCTTATCACTTTATCTTTTCTTTTCAAGTTTATTTGACTAGATCCTACTTCTTAAATAATATCTTCCAACCCTAATCCCTCCGATTACTGCTAATACTTCTACTATCTCTACTACTATGGGATTTGAATTGACAATCATATCTCTGTGTTAATGTGGTATGGCAACTTGAACTGATGTACGTACGTACGAAGTTCTACGTCGCTATTGATTGATTGAGGGCCGTTTCGTCCTGGTATGGGACTCATCAGCAGCGCACATCCACAACTCCTGCTACTAACGAGATTCGAACCCGGGACCTTCGGTCTCGTGAGCGAACACCTAACCTCTGAACCACAAATTAAGTTGAATAGTCAATAACAGAATAGTAGTACAATGAAATATATATATATACCAAGACAGTAATAGGAACACTGACTTACTGACCTTGCTACAACACATTCACCAGGATAATAATAACTTTTACATGCCAATGCAAATGATCCTTCCTGAAAAACAACAGTAGTATAGTAGTGATGTAGTATCATAAGAAACTAAAATAGTTTTTACACATTTGAAATCATCAATCAATCATTGTTAGGCTACCACCATTAGAAACCTGGAATCACTGAAAGACGGCCGTTTCGTCCTGGTATGGGACTCATCAGAGGCAGTGCGCATCCACGACTCCTGCTCCTCGCAGGATTCGAACCCTTTGGCATTGTAGGCGAACGCCTTACCATCGGACCACTGAGCCGGCATCCAACGGTTTTAATGTCTAACTCTGATTGATCTAAAATAGTTTTCACAATTCACAATTAACACACTGTGTTTATATTACATGAAAAGAGAAATTGTGAAAAAAACTTCCAAAAATACATATTTTTCAATGCTTATAGAGAAACGTTGTAGTTCAGATCGATTGATGATGAGAATTGATGATAAATAACAACGAATCATCAAGATCGAGGTCAATAGGACAAAAAAGCTACAAGTCATATGTGCAGAAATTTCGAATACATCACTTGTAAGTAATCAAATCTGTGCTAATGATGTTGTTGTTTAGAAGAATGATGAAAGCTCTTCACAACCGAAACATCATCCAGCTTAGAGAATGAAACTCTGCCATAAGATTATTTAGGCATAAATTTCAGTTTTAACTCCACCTGGAGCCCTCTTTTCGGGTAACTGCCGGTCCCAAGCCCGGATAATGGAGGAAGGTTGTTAGGCATGCAGGTTAGCGACCTAATCCCGTAGAAATTTAACTCGCTAGAAAAACGCTAACCAGAAAATTGATTTGCTGGTCGTCAGCCTAAGCTCCATTTAGGGGTAACTGATGCAAGCAAGCGACATGATTCACATTAATCGGTTAATTATTCATAGACAGACAAACACACATCACTGCAGAACTTTGAGTAAATGTTGTAAAAAACTCAAGCTTCTTCGACACTACGGTGTGCCTGAGAAAATAGACAACATCATACGGAATTCTTATGATGGATTCAACTGCAAAATCGTACACGAAGGACAGCTAACAGACTCCTTTGAGGTGAAGACCGGTGTCAGGCAAGGTTGCTTACTCTCACTCTCTCTTTCTCCTGGTCATCGACTGGATTATGAAGAAGTCGATATCTGTAGGGAAGCACGGTATCAAATGGACAGCCAGGATGCAGCTGGACGATCTTGACTTCGCAGATGATCTGGCTCTTCTATTGCACATGCAACAACAAATGCAAGAGAAGACGACCAGTGTAGCAGCAGCCTCTGCAGCAGTAGGTCTCAAAATACATAAAGGAAAAAGCAAAATTCTCCGATGCAACACAACATGCACCAACCAAATCAATCTTGATGGAGATGCCTTGGAGGAAGTTAACACCTTTACGTATCTGGGCAGCATCATCGACAACCAAGGTGGATCGGATGCAGATGTGAGGGCGCGGATTGGAAAAGTAAGAACTGCATTTCTACAATTGAAAAATATTTGGAACTCCAAACAACTTTCAACCAAAACCAAAATCAGGATTTTCAATACAAATGTCAAGACAGTGCTACTATATGGGGCGAAAAGTTTAAGAACTGCGAGAGCTATCATCCAGAAGATACAAGTATTCATTAATAGTTGCCTTCGCAAAATACTTCGGATTCGTTGGCCAGACACCATCAGCAACAACGTACTGTGGGAGAAAACAAACCAGATTCCAGTGGAGGAGGAAATGAGGAAGAAGCACCTAACTGCGTCACGAGACAAGCCCTCACATGGAACCCTCAAGGCAAAAGGAAAAGAGGAAGGCTAAGAAACACACTACGCCGAGAAATAGAGAAAAATATGAGAGGAATGAACAAACATTGGACAGAACTGGAGAGGGAAGCCCAGGACAGAGTTGGTTGGAGAAAACTGGTGGGCGGCCTATGCTCCATTGGGGGTAACAGGCGTAAGTAAGTAAGTAAGTAAGTAACCACACCTCGTAACAACGGAAATATGTTTTTTTTTCAATGAAAACCTAAAGCTGACTACGAGCAATAAATGACAATTAATAACGAGTTGAAAGTAAATACAGAAAAGAAACCAATGCATTTGCGCTCTTACAACCCTATTCGGG